TGTCACATTTTCAATCGTGATGGTGTTCAGGAAAAATAATTGAGGTTGCTAACATGTGTTAAAAATATAAAAACTCCACATTTAGATTTTTTATAGGCAGTATGTTGTTAACTGAGTGTGTGTGTGCGCTCATTTGTGTAGATTTCTCCTCCAGAGGCTGCGCGAGCGCCAACAGCGCAACAGAAGCGTCAGTAATAGTCAACAACACTGACAGTAATGCAGCGCAATATGAAAGAGTTCGTCTTAGGTTTAACAACCTATGAAACTAATAATGAACAATATGAAACTAAAACGACATAAGCTTAATTTATAGCTATTTAGAGGTGGATAAACGCACTTTGGAGGTGGGTAAACGCTATTTTCGAATATTGGGAGGTGCGTAAACGGCGTTTACGTGCATTTAGCCTCCACTACATCCCTGGGTACAGTATATGGTAAACTTCAAAGAAAAAAAAAACCCTTGCCAGCTAACCAATCACAGCACATTTTGTATTCGGAAGGAGGGGCTTCATCGAAAACGAAGTTCAGACTGGGGAGAGAAGAGCTGTAATATGTAAAATATGTGAAAAATCAAGCATGAAAACATTCTAGAATCCCCAAAAACAAAGACTTCGTAAAAGGGCATAATAGGACCCCTTTAAATGAGATTTCAGGAGGATAGGTTTTCAAAAAGAATGTTGTTACAAAACATGCATTTAAAATTGAAAGTAATAAATTAATTTTGTTTTAGACTATTACAGTCTGACACATTTTTGTCATTCAGCACAATATTTTGATTAAAATAATTATTGGCAAAACTTATATTTCTGTAAAAGTAAAATGGACAATATGAAATTAAGGAAAACTGACTACATTCAAAGAACATCAAGACTATGACTACAAAAGAAAAATGCTATAAAAATGAACACTGCACAAGATTATTGCTAAGAAATCCTCCACTGTTCTGACTTCAGTGTTAACATTCTGTCCAAAAGTAATGTTTACAAGAATAAGCAACGGACCACTGAGAAAAGATGTTCATGAATCAGCATCAGTGTTGCTAAGAGCCATTTAGTTGTTAAACCCTAAAGACCGTTTTGTGTTCTCAGCTCATATTTGCAACTCTTGGATGTGTGGTTGTGGCCTATTACAGTCCATCTGTTCACATGGCACCACCTTGTGGATAATACCTCATTAAGCCTCTTAAAGAGAAAAAAACCTAAAAGTCACTACTAAAAGTGCCAGAAAGAAACAAATATATAATTAAAGCATTAAGCTAAAAGTAGCATACTGAACACTGTAATTCTATATTATCACATTTTACACATTCCACAAAAGGTACAAAGTGGCAGATTTAAAGAAAATACAACAGGTCATGAAGCAGAAAGAATTTATTATCAACCATAGATAGGAAAATACATTACTGTAAAGGAATTTCTATGTACAGATCTCTTAAACTAAGAATAAAGAGAACGGACAGAAAATAGTTGCTTACCATTCTTTTCCAGAGATTTTTTTTTAAGAGCTGCCTTTCTTGGGTTTTATTAGAGACCGAACATTCATTGAATATCATGAAAGCTTTTCTTTTTTTACGAGTGTATCTCTGCTGGCATTATCTTGAATGGTAAACAAGAGTTGATTCCATGTACTACAGAATGGCTCATGACAGTAAGTACAGTGTTAGTCAAAGAGAAACTACAATAAAAGGCCATTGGCCTCTATGAAACGCACAGTAATTAAAACGGCCCAGCTAATCTATCAATTTTATTGCAGCAGGTTTTTAGTATCAAAAACAAAGGCTGGAAAAGATCTGTTATAATATAAAGGGTAAAGCAGGAAAAAAGCAAGAGGTAATGAAAAATAAAAGAGAGGACAGTAAAGAAAGATTTGATTATTATTTGCATTTTCTCACTAGTTTAAGCGTAGATGTTGGATACTGAAATTAAGAAAATACATTGACATTTAAAAGGACTTTGTTTGGGAAAGATGAATTAAAAACAAATCAATTTAACATGGGTCTTTCAATTTAGTCTCCATTACCTATTGTTACTTTGATCAATTTCAGCGGCAATGTCAGGTACAAACACTTATCACTGATTGAAATGCACCGATATTTGAGAAGTCTAATACTTTACCATACAGTTTAATGTAAGCGAGACACCATCTCAGATAACACCTGGGGCCGGTTGCATAAACTGCTTAGACTAGTCTTAAAAGATAGTCATCTTGTTTTATTTTGTTCAAAACTGGTCCTAAATTTTTAATATCGGTTACATAAAGAGGTCGATTGGTCTAATTTGAATCAGAAAAGTAAAACTGATTACCTTTTGACTAATTGCTAGGGTGTCAAATTAGTTCTTAAGACACAGTCTTAAGTCTGGCTAAGTTTATGCAGCTGGCCACTGACGTCAAACTGCTCACCATCATGACATTAAACTACACGAAAACTAGTCTACTAACAAAGCAGGATGCCCTACAGATTTAACATTATCCATCTTTGGGCACCTACTTCAGTCAGATGAGCAAATTTTTTATAGGACCAATAAGCGATGCGAAACAGATCATTAAAAAGAGACACCAAAAATAGAGGAGAATACATTATATATATACACAGACAACACAACTCATTTGTTTTGTAAAAAGGAAATATTCAATACACATTTTATTCACATTTTACAAAAAACTAATCTCATTTCTACTATAATTCCATTAACAATTCATGGTCACTTAAGACAAAACAAAATGCTAAAGAATATTGTGAAGAGGCCCCGAATAACAGAAGACTGCTCTGGTTCTTACTGCTAAAACAAAGCAAGATGTAAAAGCGATACTGCTGCACAGTTGAAAGAAACTGATTTGTTACATGTTGAACATGTGATGGTCATGCTGACATCAGTTTAGTGGAACAAAATATATTAAGTGCTAAACATCTAACCACAATCAGACCAGTCTTAGAGATGATAATTTGGTCCAAAGGCTCAGAACTAGGTTAGGAAGATAGTTTCAAAATTAAAAATGCCTCGTGAAGTACCATAAGAGGATTATCTAACTTTTACAATTGGCTTCAGAAGAATGCATCAAGCTGGCACGAAACCGGAAAGATTATGGCCATTTAAAACCGATTCTAGACAGATGTAAATATGGAAATATATACACAGTCTTGAATTTAAAATCTGGGTTGCAAGAAATCATGAGTTCAGAAATGCTAAAGTTCACTTTAGCATTCAAAACATTCTTGATGCAAAAATAAATGTCCTATACCTGATTTCTTGAGACTCTTAGACCTCAAGAAGATGAAGATGCACTGATAGCATAATGCAATCCAAAAAATAAACTACATAAAATTTCCACCACAACAACAGTAAAGGTTTTTTTTTTCTTTTTTCAGACAGGTGGTTGCAGGTGGAGTTGCTCTCTGAAGAGTGTGCAAAACAGTAACAAAGTTGCACTATAGATAAAGGAATGGCAGAAGTGTTACTGACTTGACTTCACATAGACAGATGGCATGTTACGGAGCTTCGGGACTCCCCTCCCTTTACATATACAGCAACAAGACACAGTGAAAAAACAGTTTGAGATGAATGATTGAATGGACAAGAAAAGCATGTACTCTGAAAGTTACAAAAGAAAATAAATAACTATAGTAAAAAAAAAAAGTGCAAAATGAGCAATGAGTGCAAAAGTATGGCAGCGAGAACCAGGAACAACCTCTGTCTTTTATACAAGCTGGTAAGTTTGATTCATTTTTATAAAAATGTAGCTTACAACACAATCTTATTTTTCTGAATTTGGATCATAATTTATTCTTAGTACAAAAGAACATTTAATAAAATTAAAAAAAAAAAAAAGTGAATGTGGCTCATATACAATCAAGTCAAGCCTAATTTTTTCTGTTAATATATTCAATTACATTTTGTACAAAGACCTGGAAGAACCCCTCTGATACAATGTAGGGGGTGGTAATGGCTAGGTCGGAACATTACTAGCCTCAAGAACAGTGCTACAGATCTTTCGAAGACGTGTGTAATGAGAGGATAAAAAGGTATGGGAAATCCTTTTCAACCTAATATAGTGACAAATCGCTGGTTAAAAGACTCCCTATATATAAAACCTCCCTTTCTAATAAAAACCTCCCGTTTATAACCACAGTGATATCAAGCGCAGTTTAGATTATTCACATAGCCTGTCGTACAAAGAAACAAAGAGCCTGCCCCCCATATAACTGGTTAAAACAATAGTGCGCAAGAAGCAGTGCCGCTGAATCGAGACATCTAAAATAATTTGGTTCACATATTAAGCTCAAACCATTCCAACTCCCATCTGAGGGAGAGAGAAAGACAAATAAGTGCTTTTTTTTTTACATTATATAAGCGTGTAAAAACATTCCGTAACAGTGCACTCGCTTAGAACGTACAGCGCGTTCTGAATATTGCACCATTGATGGAAGATTAAGACATCAGGAGATGTACCGATGTAGAGCGAGTTTCAGCACCGCGCAAGTGGAAAAGCTTTTGAGTTTCCATTCTCTTTCCCGGTTGGGGACAAATTTTACTTACTGAGTTTGGTCTGCACAAAACATTGGTCACTCATCCAAAGGTGCATTATGTAAGTGTGTCTGAAATTAAATTCAACTGCTAGCAATGTCTCTGTTCAGTGGAATGTCAACTAAAAAAAAAAAATTGTTTAAATTGAGGCTGAATTCATGAAGATATTGGTTATGCTTATTTGCTGAATTACAATAATGGCTGGTTATAGTATTAATATCTGATCATAAAGGAACTAAAACAATCTGCAATCCCTTTGAATGTGTGACCAAGTCTTAGCCTCATCTTACAATTGATACATTGCATGCACACAAGCTATGTCCAACAATTTAAAAAAAAATTATGATAATATATCAGCCTATGGGAGGGATTGATTCAAAAAAATAAAAAATATCTACAGCTTAACAAATAGAAACAAATGTCCCTGACAAATTGGAACATGTTGGACCCTAAAAATGAATAAAGGTACAAGAGAAAAAAATATATGTATATACACCACACATACATATATATACATATATATAAAAAAGAAACAGCTTAGAGGTTTTATCGTTTTCAAAAAACGTATAAGAGTTGGGACTCTGCAGCGCCACCAGTGGCCGGGAGGGCTCACTACCTGTGTCCAGGTAAGTGGATCCCATTAAGAGGGGGAGAATAAGGCAGGACCAACTCCAGTTGTGCAAACAGGGAGAAGTGATCTGAGGGGATATGAGGGTGTGGGCAACCACTGATATTGTTATCCAAGAGCCAGTTTGTGTCCAAAGGCCCAAGGACACCCAGCAAGCTCAGTTGTGGCCTGGAGTAGAAGATGTAGTCAATGACACCCTAAATTGGGTTTTAAAAAAAAGGGAGTTGTGAGCACACACACTTGAAGCACACAACAAGAGCTGTTTTCATTCTTTCTGCTGTTCATCTGTCATGTTACCGCACATGGCAGAGCAAGAAATAGCACGACATGACACTAGCGTTTCATTTAGTTAACTTGACATGCATGGTCAATATCAATACATCCATCCCTGTTTGAAGAGTGAGATTTTGGACCTAGAGTTTCAGATACAGAAACGGGTGCTAATGACAGTTTAAAAAGAAAAAGTTGTAAAAATCATACTAGTGTTGACACTTTTGACATAACTAGTTATAAACTCGGAACAATGGCGGTCACTTTATTTAGCTCACTGTACTTACCTTGAAGTCAAAAGTGTAATTGGTGTAAGGCATGAGCCCATTCTCGTAGGCACTCTTCAACTTGAAACCATGCGTGATCCTTTCGCTAGATGTACTGATCTTGCCGTTGCAGTTGAAGTTGGTCAGACTGTCGCAGTAGCGCAGCTCCTTGAAGTCTTTGTGTGTGCAGTCCACCCCACCTGTGCTCAGGTACTCCACAACACCTACAATCAGAACCGAAACTTATTAAACATGTCAACAGACGTAACTATTAAACAGATGGTTTAAGGACAACATGAAATCAAAATCAATCTGATTTACTTTGTCATTGGTCTTATTTTGCATAATTCATCAGTGCTTGTACTTTCTAAAGGAAGTTTGTTTTCCTTATCTTTCATCAAAGTTCTCTGCCTCTGTGTGACATGCTCTTGGTTATCTTAGTAGAGAAGTAGTTTCAGAGCAAGAACATTTTTTATAGCATTTGTACATAACTTTGTCAAACTCACATCAGTCAATCCTTTATTATAGGACTCAAAAACACACTTTTAACAACACAAGAGAAAATGAGACTGTGGCTTTAAGAAGGCTTACCCGAGTCAGGAAGTGAGTTGAGGTCAGCACACAGCACTAAAGGGATGGTGTTGGTTTCTCCAGACACAGAGGAGAGCTTCAGACTGTGGGAGGCCTTGTCTATGATATTCTTCACCTCTGACAGGAACATCATGGTCTGCACCAGCTTCACGTCAGAGTATTCTGGGTCCCAGTGCATGTGAGCATTAGCCACTAGTAGGAGCTGTTTCTCCATAGCATGGATAGACTTACCTGCTGTAGGAAGGGGGGGAAAAGGCTGTTTGTGAAATGTGGAAATAGGACATTATATTTTGCATAAAGAAATTAACATTTCATTATTTTGAATTGTAAAAACTTTAAAGAACAGTAATAGTGAAATATTACAATTTAAGCTAAAAAAAAAAAATGAAATAGAAAAGTTATGTAATTTAATCCTATAAGTGGCCAAGCTGAATTTTCAGTCTTCAGTGATACATGATTTGAAATATTTCGAAACCATTATTATTTTCAATGTTGAAAACAGTTAATTTTTTTTGGAAAGCGCTTTCTTTGACGAAAAGAAAGTTCAGGAACAGCATTAATTTAAAAAACATTTTTTTGCAACAATGTAAAAAATCTTTAATGTCTCTTTTGAAACTTTTGTGTAACAGTATTCATTTCCTTAATTTTTTTTTTTTACTGTATTATAGTACCATTTAAAGGCAATATTATTATTTTTAAATTCCATTTATGTGGGAAAGAGGTTGCTCAATTGTCATAAATAGTCACAATGGGGGAAAAGTTTTATCGTGCAAATTCTCACATGAGAATTAACTCACTCTCCATTAACTCATTCTTTAGCTCTAGCAATGCGGCCACCCCAATGTTGTCCTTGGTCATGACCCGATTAAGCATAGCCTCCGAGCCCTCTGAATTGGCCATAGCCAGCTGGTTAAACTCTACTGTGTGTTTCTGCACCATGCTGAACCTAAAAGCAAAAAAACAACAAAATCTGGTTCCATGTTTTCATTCATGTCAACATTGAAACAAATCTGTCAGACAGAGTCTTACACCACACTTCTCAACAATGTTACTTTACTCACTTTTCAGTCTTGTAGAATATTGCACATCCATCTACATGTTTCCTGTCCGATTCTGACATGGTTCTGGCCCGGGATTTTGGGCTGAAGAATCCATCATATCCCTGTTTACTTAGCTCCACAAGGAAGTAATTATAATACTGTTCCGTCTCCACTTCCTGTGCATGAAACAGCAGACTAAGTGACTCTGACAAACAGTGCTGTAGGGGTAAACCCATTGACTATTCAGAGCTACCTGTTGTGCATCACTGAGCTAAAAAAAAGTGACCTTTAAAGAAACAAAACACAAGGAGAACACTTCATCTATTAGGACAGGCATTCTCAAATACACCAGAATGTTATCAGTGGATTATTATGTGAAGCAAATGCAAGTATTGAATATTTGAATAAAAAAAAAAAAAAGACAGGTAAGATACAATTTTAAATACTGCATTTTTGTCTGTTCTGAGACATTGCTGTAATTTACTGCACATTGTTCTCTAAAACTAAAAAGCAATCACAAGTTATGTAATTTGAATACCACTGGGCTTGCATAAGTTCTTTATACCTGTAAGCTGATAATATCTGCATTGCAGCTGAGGATCTCCTGCATAATGGACTTTTTCCTGTAGCTCCAATTAAGGGCCCAGGACGGGCAGTAGCCATAAAGCTGGCGTGTGGCGTACTTATCACACAGCACGTTGTAGCACATTACAGTTAACAGGGCTGGTGAAGCAAAGAGGAGAGCAAATATCAGGCAAAGTGTCCTCAAGTTTCGAATTATGTTTCTACGGTTTTCAAGAAACATCTACCTGTTGGTCTCGTCCTTTCAGGCTCCTGCAGCACAATCCAGGATCTGGATGGAGGTTCCTCTGTTGGGACTGTGAAGGCAAAGTATATGCATTTCAGGACAATAATTTGAATTTAATCTGAAAAGGTTAAAAAAAAAACAGCTGTGAAATTCTACAATGTTTTTCAATTTTTCAGTTGAATCTCAATTTAGAGATGAATTGTGTATCAGCATTTAAACGGGCTTAAAACAAAATAACTGCTGTGCAAAAAGCTGAATCAGAATTTGAAATTGAATCAGAACAGAAATTACTTGAGTTTTTAAAACACCAGCCTAAATGCTCTAATACTGATAGATACACTAGTTTATATGTTTGAAAGCAGTATAATTATATATATATATATATATATATATATATATTATTCAGCAAGGACTCATTAAAGCAATCCAAGAGTGACATTAAAGATTTTTACATTGTTACAAAACAATTCAATGATAAATGCTGCTATTTTGTACTTCCTATTAATCAAAGAATCCTGTTATCAACATTGATAAGAGGAAATGATTCTTGAGCACCAAATCAGCATATTAAAATGATTTCTGAAGGATCATGTGACACTGAAGAAATGATGCTGAAAATTCAGCTTTGCCATTACAGGAATAAATTACATTTTAAAATATATTAATTTAAATCAGTTATTTTACATTGTAATAGTATTTTTATATTTAGACTTTTTGATTGTGCATTAAATCATCAACAGCTTCATGAAGATATTGTGAATATTTGATATAATCGCCCAGCACTAACAGTGAATACTGTGAAACATGGACAACAGCCCATGACACTACAGTAATTTTAGAGGAAATGTAGAGGGGAAAAAACAGACATGGACAGATCTTTAGGGCTGGACCCGAATATTCGTTCAGTGGGTTAGTACTCAATTTAAAATTTTGGGCATTTTTTGAATGCTGTTTAACTGTTTTACATGAATATTATGCCACGAGTGAAGCAAAGCTTTGTTTACAAAATAAATAATAGGTTAGCAATTAAATGTTACAGCACAGCCATGGAAACATTTGGATTCATGACGAATGAGAGTTGTGGGTGAGCCCATAAATTTAAGCTTTGTCGGCTTTCTATTTTGCGATCTGGTCTCCCGATTATCAGTGATTTTAACAATTCATAGATGCCACCTACGTCACTCCAAATAGAACGCCGCCATATTTACGACCCATCTAGCCCGGTATGGCCGCCCAAACTGCCCATTTTAATGAGAGAGACAGACAGAGATACCAGGAGAAAATTTCAATTTTAGCCTCCGATCCTTATTTGTTACCCCCAGTTTTCTTTTATCCAGACTTGCCCCAGACTTGCTCCAATTTGCCTTCCATGGTATATATATATATATCTTGTGCATAACCCCTCCCCATACAGTGGGGATCGCTTGAAGGCTTTCAAGACTACAGATGCATATATGCTGTGGCTGGATGGGTAAAAGACGTAAAAGTGCGGCACCTGGCCACCAAGGATTTATATTTAATCATGGGAAATGTAATGGGTATTATTAAAAAAAAATTCAAATGTATGATTTTGGTGGTAGTTTGCTCTGACTAGGTAGCGAGTTGTTAGCCACGGCTCACAGCTAGCTGTCATTAATCTGGATTAGGCCTGTCGCGATAGTCAATAAATCATTTAATCGCACGATAAAAAAAATGAGCTCGATAATTTTTCCGGCCGCGATAATTTCCATTTGCATGCTTGTTTGTTTTCCTCGTCTCTCTCGCTCTCTCTCTACCAAAGAGACTGGATGACAACTCTGTTAAAGACATAACCGACTTATTTTACGTGAATACTCTCCAAAACAAAATTTAAACAATGTTGTGTGTTTTTGTCCATTCAGACACGAAACAGAGCTCAATTCCTTACTCACGCGCTGTATAGGGGTCTATGGCTGCACGCTTCGGGTCGGGCACAGAAAGACGAGACATGATACAATATGATCTCTTCGAATGACAGCTAACCACTTCTTTCTTCTATCCTTTTCTTTTGGTATAGAATAAAATACCAAAATCGGCTGTTATTGCAGGCATTACTGAGACCGTCGGTCGTAAAGATGGCGGCGCAAAGCTACAGTGACGTCATGTGACCCGAACGAATATTCCATTAGTTATTCCACTGGACATGGAATCTCTTGTTTCTTTTCCCAAATCTTCACTCACGTCTCACCCGTTTTCACAGGGGATTATAAACGTTTCTTCCTTTGGTTCGTGTTTAATTAGGCCTATTATATTCGCATTCTTTACTGTGGTAAAGTAGAAAAAATGCTGTAGGACAGATAGTCTAACTTTTTACTTGCACGTAAGAAAATTAACACAGTTTTTGCTTGTTATTAGACTTGGTAAGGCAGGTCAAGTTTATTTGTAAAGCGTGTTTCACACGCGCGGGTGATTCTAGTGTCACAGCCTAAATTCAGCCTAAATGTCTTGCCCTTGTGGAAGATAAAATTTGCTCTTCAATTTTATGCAGTCTCTTTCCTGCTCCCACATCCCTCTCAAAGCGCAGAACGGTAGGCTTAGGCTATATCACGCGTCTTTGGGTGGAAATATAAAACAAATATTTTTTAAACATTTAACTATTATATTATTTAAGTTACCATTATTTACTGATATTTATTTCAATGCTTTAGTGTGTTGTTTCATTGTTTCAAATAAACACGCATGTCTGTTATGAAATGGATGTTTGAGCCTCGTTCATTTTTTTATTTCTCTCCGAAGCTTCGAATATTCGGTGTTGATTACCGTATTTTCCGCACTATACGGCGCACCGGATTATAAGGCGCACCTTCAATGAATGACCTATTTTTTTTAGGTCATTCATTGAAGGTGCATTTCAATGAATGACCTAAAAAAAATTTTTAGGTCTATAAGGCGCATAAGATACTGCAGTCAAACATTTGACTGGGTTTGCGTTATGCATCCACTAGATGTCAACAAATGTCAACAAAACAGTCAGATAAAGTCAAACTTTATTAAGCGTTCTGACAAGTCGTTCACTCCCATGGTAACGTTGTTCAAACGTTAAATGAAAACTCCGGTCAATTTTAACATTGAGCTCATTTTTTGTAAATTTGGAGTGCTGTCAGTACAGATAACAACGACAAAAAACGGTGTTGCCTACACCGTGTTATCCTCTTTTTAAAATTTGCACCCTGTTGACTTAAACGGGACAAGTTTTAAACCTGCTTTTAGCCTCTTAACAACCTTAATGTGTCATTACAAGTGCACAGCCATGTGAGTGAATACGGTGAATCTGATTGCAGTAAATGCGAAAGATATGAATAAAAATGATGTTTATTCAGCCAGCTCACATACCCGTATTTTCTTCCTGTTTTCGGTCGAAGTCCACAGTAGGCGATTGTCGAGTGCGTGCGCGATCATTGGTAACTAAGCAACAGTGGAGACTCAGACTGTCAGCTGTCAGCCGATGACGGTACTGTGTGGTGTTCTGAGAATATCAGCTCAAATGGATAGTTTGGATAGTTCATCCGAATCAGATGTTGAACACACGGAGGAGGTTTGATCGCGCGCGCGAACTCGACAATCAACCACTGTGGACTTCGGGTGTGAATACGGGTGTGTGAGCCGGTTGAATAAAGAGATTATTCCTGCCTTCGTGAAAGCTCGGATCACAGTTGAGACTGATATATCAGCCCAGGCATCCACGATCCATTGGCAGATAGTGGCGTAAGTCGCCCGGCGCTGTCTCCCCGTCTTGGTGAACGTGTGTTCACCATCCATATATAAGGCGCTCCGGATTATAAGGCGGACTGTCGTTTTTTGAGAAAATTAAAGGCATTTAAAGGAGCTGTATGTAAGATTGTGGCCAAAACTGGTACTGCAATCACTTTCAAATTACTGTAGAGTGGTGTATCCCCTCCCCCTCCCCCCTGACTCAAGGTTGCCAGATCGGCTGTAGGATCCAGCAGGAACGTGACGAGCTGCAGCTGTGGTAACTAGAGCAGAGCTGGCAACCCGGATGCCGCAACACTACTGACTTCGTGATTGGTAGATAGGTGGAGGGTGGAGCATCAGACCAAAACACAACATGACAACATCAACATCAGTTGAGGGCTGCAACTGCACTTTTTAAATGACAATATCCTGGCCGGACTACTGTTGTCAGTGATATAAGTATTTGAAATGTACATGATTTCTTAATGTCTAGTGATATATCAGGGCCATTTTATGATTAATTGAAATAAATTTCTTACATACAGCTCCTTTAAGTGCGCCTTATAGTGCGGAAAATACGGTACTACCGAAGCTTCGAAGCTCAAAAAATGGTATTCGGACCAGACCTACAGATCTTAAACAGTTATTTTGTCCGAGTCACCTACTGCGCTTAATAGCACCAGCTAGATTGTCCAAAAGGTAGTTCAGCAGTCGCCGGGTGCCATCTGGCTCTTGGTAGAGGCTCATAATCTCTTGAGTGAGTGGATTGCCTGCAGAGACACATACAAACAGTCAGTAGGAAACATTCACTACAAAGTGATGATCTCAAGATGTTGCAATCCCCAGAACAATGACACTCACCTTTCAACCCCAGTGTTTGTAACTGAAACAGTTTCCCCAATTCAAAAGGCAGAACCCGCAAATGGTTGTTATTTAAAAGCAGTTCCCTGTGGAAAACACAAAAAGAATGTTAACGACGAATAAACTAATCAGCTGTGCGCTTAATGCTAGATTAAAAACACAACAACAATAAAAACTTCTGAATAAAACCTATTGACCAATGTATTCCATGATTTTCATGTCATATGTCAACCAATTTTTTAAATTTTATTTTTATCATTGATAACACTTTTAGGGATGTCAATTTTCACAAATTCCCATGATCGATCGTCGTTTAAATTAACGATCAATTAATCGATTAATCGTTAGCCTTAATACTGCAATATGCGTCTGCTGCAGTGCATATGGCCAACAGCATGACAGCGTGTGCAAATGCTGCTCAAACCGCTATGTTCCTCACCAAATTAATGAGAATGGTTTTAATCTAAATAAAGGGCTAGTAGGATTGTAAAATGTTTCGATGTGATTGATAATTAAATTTCAGGGCTCGAATTTCGGCGCGGGATTGCGGGTATGGCGCATAATTCTAATAATTCCCACAGGTCTCCCATTTATAATGCAGGAAATTCCCGCAATCGTAATCCACACAGATTATAAAATCAAATCATTCTTTTAACAACTATCTGCCAGGCGCAATTTCACAAACAGCGTGAGTGTTCAGCGTGCCGCGTCTTCTATCTCTCTTCTCTCAAAATGTGTTGTGCAAGGCAAGCATCAAGCGCTGCGGCGATAATACACACTCGCGTTTAGGAGTCGGGACATGACGGAATATTCACTTGCACAATCGGGCCAGCAGTGCATCGTGACTAAAGTTTACCATTTGCACGTCTTTTTAAGTCTTACCAGTTTAAACATTTAAGCGATTTGAAACTAATCAGTGCTCGCGCTCTCTGAGATGATTTTCTATGCGCACATTCATAGAAAATCCGCCTCAAAAACAGCTGGCCAGTAACAAAAGTTATTTTTCGCGGATTATATTGCTTTAACACGCAAAATTGTGTCAATTTCGGTCTTCGTGAGTATACTCTAAACATAGTCGGTTTTGTCTTTTAATAAGCATAAAACGCATGCCAGTATAATGAACACAGGGTCCGTGCACTAGCTCATTAATTTAGTTGTCAAAACAAAATATAGCTTTAAGTTAAAGGAATCAGGATTAATAGCCTATATATATTTAATTTATTCAGGACTAAAATACTACCCAGTGTTATTTTCCATTTGATTACTTTATTCAGTTTCTGTAGGCCTATATGAAGTTAGACCCGCATTGAAAAACTTTTCTCTTTATTTGTCTTTATTTGTATCTTTATTCTATTGTATTTATTTGTGCTACTTTTTTCAATTTAATTAAACAATTTAAATCAAGCTTCCTTGTGTTGTGTAAACTCTTAACAACAATATGACCCCATTGTAAAAATGCAATGAGCGCAAACATTTAGGCAAGATAAATGTAATTTTTGTTTGGAAAAAATGCCCCCCGCCCTTCTCCCCCTCAAAAAAAAAATCCCCCCATGAGAATCATCTAAGGGGGGATTTCCCCCCCATTTTCCAAAACGAAATTCAGGCCCTGAATTAAATTAAATATTTAATAATCAAATATAACGACTAATACAACGTGTCACCAACGCCGCCTCAGATGCGCTTGTCAGAATGTGTGACTTGTGGACGCGTGCTCTTCCTGGAACAACGCACTTAAAACGGCAACTAAACCCAATGAATTCACACCGATTTAATAAAATAGTGTTCTCATGTTATGTAATATGACAGTCCCAAATTAATCCTCGTTATTAGTCGTGCATTCTGCTTGAGCGGCGCGCGCTGAATAAATAACTTAACCGTTGAGCACTTTGCTAGCACGTTATTTAACTCAAAGAAACGCATCTTATGAGATTAATCAGATATATACAAAATAAACATAATATTACAAATAATATCTGCACAAAATGACGTGAATGCACAAGTGAACTTGAACTAAGTTACGTGCCATTCAGAATGACTCATGTTGTGGACGCGCTCTTCCTGGAACAACGCGACACGGCAACTAAACCCAAATAATTCACAATGTTTTATTACAATATTGTTCTCTTTATAATGTTATATAATATGACAGTCCCAATAGTCGTTATTAGTCGTGCATTGCCATTTGAGCTGCGCGCGCTAAAGATCACGCTGCGTCAATTCTTAACCAAATGCATCCAATATGAGATAAATCAGATATAGATAGGCACACACAAAATAAACTATTACAACTTACATTTGCACAAAACAAAAGGCAGCGAATGCACACGCAAACTTATAGTCATGATGAAGGTGTAAAATAGTCCCAAACATAACTCCGGCGCGCTCGCTTACATGTTTCGCGGTTGAGCAGCACGCACGCGCATGAACCTGCTTAATCGATGATTGATAAGGTTTATCGATTAAACGTGTTATCGACAATTAATCGATCATCGATTAATCGTTGACATCCCTAAACACTTTACAATAAGGTCAAATTTGTTAACATTAATAAAATAACTAACATTGAAAAAATATATATTTATATTTTTAATAACTGATACTCAAATTCACTATTGACATTAAACTTTCCTGGCTGTGGAAACCGTGTTAGGAGTGATCTAGTTTCATCAAGTGCGGTCATAAGAACGTTTTTCCTTTCTTTCCTCTGTATTGCAAACACATTAAATGGAACAAATGATCCATGGAGAGAATAACACAGCTTTTGCTCCAAGTAGTTCACCTGAGAGACACCATGTTGCCAAGCTCTGCTGGCAGGCTCCTGATTTTATTGGATGACAGGTCCAAGAACACAAGGTTGTGCAGCTTGGCAATTTCAGGTGGGACGCGTGACAGGGAGTTGTCACCAAGGTGCAAAGCAGTGAGGTGTGTGAGTGACCAAAGGCCCGAGCTGAGACTCCGAACATTACCTGAGACAGAAACAGATATAAATTCCATTTAGGCGGCACTGTCTGGAGATGATAGGATTCAATTTTTGTGAAAATCTGACAAAAGGTCTAGGAGGAGTTAGAAAAAGTAGGTTTTAAATAAAAATAAAATGTTCCTGGCGGACAGGAAGTTTGGCTGACTATGGCAAAATTGAGATCTATGTTTTCGGCATAACCCAGGGAATCTATTAAAGGAACACTCCACCGTTTTTTGAAATTGGGGTTATTCACTGTCTCCCCTACATTTAGATAGGTGGGCAAACGCATTTTTGTCTCAGTGCATGCATTGTCTTAGTCTGGCAGCGCCGCCGCTAGCTTAGCTTAATGAATGGAATCCTATGTTGCCAGGTAGCATGTAGTGAGTAAAAGTGATAAAAAAAATAAAAAGAATAAAAAAAAATTACTTCTTGTGGCCTGCTTATTCACAACGAGTACAAATAGCAATGGAGATTAAGACTAGGTGATTTCCTAGGCAGAGATTGATTTGGGACTATGTTGGGGGGGAAGCACTGCTACTTGGGCGCAGAGATATCACGCAACACCTGAAATAAAGCTTGCCACAAAGAACCGGCGAAAGTAATGATTATGCATGAAATATTTGAATTGTTGATAAAGTTGATAAATTTGACGATGCAGACTCGCCATCTTCGCAGTAGTGAACGCACCTGTTAGTGATCTGAATAGGGATGGCTCGATACCACAATTTTGGCTTCGGTACGATACCAGAACCTAATACCTCGGTATCGATACTAAATCGATACCACAGGTTTTAAAAAAACAGTCTCAAAATTTAAGTGACACTTAAACACTGCTTGAAATTCTCCACTACCAAATGTGCAAAGAAAATGTATCAAATTGTAAAAAAAAAAAAAAAAAAAAAAAAATCAGTCAGGGAACATACAGCAGGTTAAATTTTGATTTTGACAAAAAAAAAATCACTGAAATTATACAATTAAAATAGGTTAATATCTATAATAACAGATCCACATATAATAATAATAATAATAGAATAATTAAATGACATGTAAACCATTAGCTGTCATGCATCAACAGAGATTTATCAACATTTATTGCATTTATTCATCTTGGTTTGGTTACTGTTTGGGTTCATATTAGTTTAATGCATTGCATAAAGTAATGTTAACATGCTAAAAACATGTATTAGTAAATATAATTTTCTAGGTAATTTTAATTACTGATTGATATAGATTAATAAATGCTATATTACTGTTAGGTCAGGTTACCTAATGAATGTTGACAAATGTAGCTTAATTCAGGGACGTGCACAGTAATTTTGTGGGGCAGTTGCTCTGACCTGAAAAAGGGGCACCCCCCCCCCCCCAAAAAAACCTCACGGGCTATATGAAGGAATATATTAAATTGAATTTTGCCCATACAAATTGCCTTATCTGATCGTGTTTATGTCCAAACGCAATGCCTCATATTATGGTCTTATTATTATTTATAAAGATTGCAAAACGTCAGAGATGACAGGTTTATGATATACAACTTTGTAAACAGTATACAAAATGTATTAACAATATGTTAAATGTCACCAAAATACACATGAGAAAAAGAGTTCCTCATATTATTGTTTATTGTCTTTTTAAATTATTATTATTTATTTATTTTTTAATTTGAAAATAAATAATCTGGATTGAATTGACAGATGGGGAAAAACTCGCTTCTAATAATAAAAAAAAAACGCTTAGATTTCGGGAAAAAATACAATCCTTTTTTAACCTTTTGGCTTCCCGTACATTCAATTGTGCTTTTTGCTCGAATTCAGTTCTGATGGTACGTATGGTAACTGGGCAACTACGCATGATTTGTAGTATGATTGCGTAAAGGGAACAGGAATTCCGGTCGGGAACAGAATCGACTGCTAAACCCAGTGCCGATCCTGACCTCCCTGGGGCCCTAAGCAAAATTCTGCTAATGGGCCTCTACCTGACCCGTGATGTCATGAGCTATGTAAACCATTTGCCATTGCCACAGTCGCACCTGACACTTCAGTGCTCCCAATACAATCCTCCCTCCTTTAAACAAAACAGTCAAAGAATAAGTACAACAATAGTATAGAACAGAATGAGGTTCAAACAAACAATATTTATTGAATAGAGTATTTTCTATAGAATGTTAAGATAACAAGTGAATATTATTAAGTAAGTGAATATTAACGTAAACATAAATAAGAAGAAAATAATAAATTATAACCCTGAGCTTTGGCTTTTGGGATTAACTTTGGTTCTCTCTACAGCCTGGGCATTTTCGGCATCAGTATGATTTTTTTATTTATTATTATGCATGTTGAAGCAATTCTTGATTTATGGTTATTATTTACTGAGGGATGTGCATCCATATTGACCAGTATGTCCAGCTAATCAACATTTTAAATTCAATATAGCCTATAAATCAATAGTCAATCAATGTCAAATTGTCATTGCTTTCTATCTTGCATAATTAGTGTAGTAGTTGTTTAGAGTTTTTAACACTGAGACTAGATAATCAGTGTCTTGTTTTAAAAGTATAATGTGTACTTTGATTGGGAGTGCCATCATTCACGTGCATATATTGTACAGTATGTCTGGTCTCCACATATTTCTGCTTGAAAAATGCGCGTTTCATTTCGTGCACGTGCATTTGAACGCACGATAATACACACGACGTGGTTATGTTTTCTGAGCTGCAGTAAACAAACACCGTTGCACTTTGTCGTTTATCAAAAACAAACGTAATAAATAATTGTATTTTACTCTCACTTTTGTCAGGCACAAAGTGATGCAAGAGATGCACTGCCTGCCCAGCTAGGTTAGCAAGACCGAAAAACATCAAACTTTGCTGACATCAAACTTAGAGAGCAGAGAACACAAGTTTACCTGATTGTTGTTCCCGCAATTCACTCTAATGGTTTTTTCTTCTTCCTCTTTTCGTGACCAGAAGGATAGTGTCGCTTCATTTTGTCATGGATGTTGTACACATTAATTGACGCGCTATGACACGAGATGGAGGCGGGGCCTTAAGTAATTTGCGTGGCCCTACGCCGGTCGCGTGCAGTCTATGGTCGCGTGCAGCGCTACAGCCATGTAAACAGTTTGCCCTTCCCTTACTGACTTTCACTTTCGGTGCCCGAATGGAAGTGAATGAGGCTTTGCGATTTTTTTTATTTTTTTATTATTATTTTAATATAGGCCTACGTGAAATTCTGCATCCATTGTACGATTTTTTTCTTTCTCGGAAGGGCAACCTGAGTCGAGAAGGGCATATGGGCAGTTGCCCGGGCAACCTGAGCAACCCCCCTGTGCACGTCCCTGGTTTGAAAGTGCAAAAATGATGAGACCTAAACTGAATTGGTTCTAGCGTGTCATGCAAGCAGATTTGAGCCTTCGTGTTTACCGTATGATATATAATTGATAAGCTCTTATGTATGTGCGCTGTTCAGTGTTCAATAAAAGTCTAAATTAAATCAGTTGAATGATGGACTAACCTGTCGATCTCTGAACTCTTTGAACAAGTCAAGATGAGCAACTGATAAGTCAAGTGCTTCGGCAGATTTGATGTGTTCAGCCTCCCCGTTTGCAGAGTGGTGCATTGAGATCTGTTTCTTTACTTTTCTCATTACTTTTGTTGGCAAAGTAATGCCTTATTTCACTCATACTGCTCTCTCTGTTTATTAATTTCGGGCGTGTAGAAATTCGAATGAGCTTCGTTTGATCCACCGTGTTCCTCTGTTGTCACCGTTTGCCGGTTTCGCGTGACCCGCGTCAGTTTAGGTAGCGCACTGCCGCCTAGCGTTGAACTTCAAAACAGCAGCGCATCAAATACCGAATTGAACAAAATTATGATATTGTACCGTTTGAAATTTAATATATACCGGTATTTTTGCAGTACCGGTATACCGCGCATCCCTAGATCTGAAGTTAGTTAATCTAAATAGATATCAATCAATCAGAGGATTTAATTCAAGACACGTACCAGTTATTTCAAGCCCATCCCAAATGGATTTTTTCCCACTGTTTGCCTCCTCACTGGACATGATAGTGTACATCCGCCTGGAATCAAGCGGGTCATATTTCTCCTTGGGCATCCCTAGAGCACTGTGTGGGACAAATACATAATCAGATTTATATAACAAGAAATAAATATGCCATCTTAATGCCTGTTATTTATATTATATATATATATATATATATATATATATATATATATATATATATATATATATATATATACATACACACAGTGAGGAAAATAAGTATTTGAACACCCTGCTATTTTGCAAGTTCTCCCACTTGGAAATCATGGAGGGGTCTGAAATTGTCATCGTAGGTGCATGTCCACTGTGAGAGACAATCTAAAAATATATATTTTTTAACTATTTATTTGTATGATACAGCTGCAAATAAGTATTTGAACAGCTGTCTATCAGCTAGAATTCTGATCTTCAAAGACCTGTTAGGCCCTGTCCACACGGACACCGTGACTTTTACGCGGTTCGGCCGTTCGTCCACACGAAAACGCACTGAAACCGAACATTTTTGAAAACCCCTGCCAGGGTGAGGATTTTCAGAAACGCCGGTTACAGTGTTGTCGTGTAGACAGTGAAACCGGGGTTTTTGCCTTGCGACGTCAGAGTGTGCGCCGTTATCCGCTGTGTTTGACATCAGATTTGCGCTTCTGATTGGCCAACGTGGCTTTAGGGTTAAGGTTTATATCGCAGCCTGCTGGCGTGGCATGCTCTTGACCGCGCTTGATTGCGTGTTTTTGCGTTTTCATGTACACGGAGACCGAGCATGTGTGGAGGGGATTTTTTTTTAAAACGCTGTAGGAAAAACTATTATCCTAAATTAGATGCACCTGTTTGAGGTCGTTAGCTGCATAAAGACACCTGTCCACCCCATACAATCAGTAAGAATCCAACTACTAACATGGCCAAGACCAAAGAGCTGTCTAAAGACACTAGAGACAAAATTGTACACCTCCACAAGGCTGGAAAGGGCTACGGGGAAATTGCCAAGCAGCTTGGTGAAAAAAGGTCCACTATTGGAGCAATCATTAGAAAAATGGATCTCCCTCGGACTGGGGCTCCATGCAAGATCTCACCTCGTGGGGTCTCAATGGCCCTCATTTATCAAAAGTGCGTACACCAAATTTCCAGCGTACACCTGGCTTACACACAAAACCACGGTGACTTTGAGATTTATCAATACGGACGTTGGCGTACGGCACGCTCAAATCCTACGCCAGCTCAGGAGGGTGTGTACGCACGTTTTGAGTTAGTGCGGAAATGCGCAGAAAAACAATTCCTAACACCACAATACGCACTGACAAACTAAAAGATATGATATATTATGACCAACAACAACAACATAGTAATTATAAACTTCAGTGTTTATTTTTGTGCAACATGGACTTCAATGTTTAATTTGTGTGACTTTACCAAAGCATTTGATTTGTAGCCATATGTATTCCTTCAGTTGCGAGCCTGTGCGCTTTACCCTGACGTTTCATGGTTTGGCCCGGCAGGTGCGCACGGACTGGGTTCGGTAATGAAAGGCTTTCAATGACCAAAAATAATTCAGACTGACAAAATAATAAAAAATACATTCTTCTTCTTTTAAATAATAATACAAATAATAATACAAATAATAATAACGACGTTCTTCTTCTAAATAACAATAAGCGTCATTAATAATAAAAATCATAATAAGAAGAAGAATATTACAAATTGTCATGCAATTATTAATGTGAATGAATGGTACTCCACATCATCATCATCACTATTGTACACCCCAAAACATGTAACGTGATTCGAAATTGAATGCTAATTGTTTCAAAAGACGTGCTGTAAAATAATGCATTGTGATAGGACATTTCGGCTCCACGTCAGTGAAGTTTCTCTTCTGTGCCGTCTTCCATGTGTACATGGCGTAAAATCAGGGCGTGGGGGAAGCGGAGACTTGAATATATAGGGGCGTGTTATTCTAATGACGATCGTTTTCAGCCGCAGGATTTATCAAGGGCAGGTATTGCGTACACCTGGATTTCAAAGATACGCACAGCTTCATAAATCAGGCGGTGAGAGGAGTGTAAGCATAATCTTACGCCAACATATACGCCCGTTTCTACGCAGGAATGATAAATGAGGGCCATTGATCCTAAGAAAGGTGAGAAATTAGCCCAGAACTACACGGGAGGAGCTGGTCAATGACCTGAAAAGAGCTGGGACCACCGTTTCCAAGGTTACTGTTGGTAATACACTAAGACGTCATGGTTTGAAATCATGCATGGCACGGAAGGTTCCCCTGCTTAAACCAGCACGTCAAGTCCCGTCTTAAAGGGATAGTTCGGCCAAAAATGATATTTAAACCACGCATTACTCACCCTCAAGCCGTTCGAGATGCATATGTCAATCTTGTTTCAGACGAACACATTTTCAGTTATTTTAGAAAATGTCTTAGACCCTTCAGTGGTTATAATGTGAAGCAATGGGGTCCACCTCCTTTAAGTCCCAAAATGTGCATATATCCGTCACAGAAGTAATCCATCCGGCTCCAGGGGGATAAACGAAGGCCTTATGAGGGTAATCCGTGCGGTTTTGTCTTAAAAATATACATATTTAAAACTTTATAAATGAAAATATCTGACTTCCGGCAACGATCGACGCGCGTTCACGGGTGATGTTTTGCTCTGCTCTCTGGATAGCTCTCTGGCTGCGCGGGCGCGTTCGTTCTACGTCACGACGCTACGTCCTACCTCGTACGCCGACTTCCATCACCCGTGGACGCGCGTCCATCGTTGCCGGAAGTCAGATATTTTCATTTATAAAGTTTTAAATATGTATATTTTTACGACAAAACCGCACAGATTACCCTCAGAAGGCCTTCGTTTATCCCCCTGGAGCCGGATGGATTACTTTTGTGAAGGATATATGCACATTTTGGGACTTGAAGGAGGTGGACCCCATTGCTTCACATTATATCCACTGAAGGGTCTAAGACATTTTCTAAAATAACTGAAAATGTGTTCGTCTGAAACAAGATTGACATATGCATCTCGAACGGCTTGAGAGTGAGTAATGCATGGGTTAAATATCATTTTTGGCCGAACTATCCCTTTAAGTTTGCCAATGACCATTTGGATGATCCAGAGGAGTCATGGGAGAAAGTCATGTGGTCAGATGGGAGAAAGTCATGTGGTCAGATGGGAGAAAGTCATGTGGTCAGATGGGAGAAAGTCATGTGGTCAGATGGGAGAAAGTCATGTGGTCAGATGGGAGAAAGTCATGTGGTCAGATGAGACCAAAATAGAACTTTTTGGTCATAATTCCACTCGCCGTGTTTGGAGGAAGAAGAATGATGAGTACCATCCCAAGAACACCATCCCAACTGTGAAGCATGGGGGTGGTAGCATCATGCTTTGGGGGTGTTTTTCTGCACATGGGACAGGGCAACTGCACTGTATTAAGGAGAGGATGACCGGGGCCATGTATTGCGAGATTTTGGGGAACAACCTCCTTCCCTCAGTTAGAGCATTGAAGATGGGTCGAGGCTGGGTCTTCCAACATGACAATGACCCGAAGCACACAGCCAGGATAACCAAGGAGTGGCTCTGTAAGAAGCATATCAAGGTTCTGGCGTGGCTCCAGACCTAAACCCAATAGAGAATCTTTGGAGGGAGCTCAAACTCCGTGTTTCTCAGCGACAGCCCAGAAACCTGACTGATCTAGAGAAGATCTGTGTGGAAGAGTGGGCCAAAATCCCTCCTGCAGAGCAGTGTGTGCAAACCTGGTGAAAAACTACAGGAAACGTTTGACCTCTGAAATTGCAAACAAAGGCTACTGTACCAAATATTAACATTGATTTTCTCAGGTGTTCAAATACTTATTTGCAGCTGTATCATACAAATAAATAGTTAAAAAATCATATATTGTGAATTCTGGATATTTTTTTTTTTTAGACTATGTCTCTCACAGTGAACATGCACCTACGATGACAATTTCAGACCCCTCCATGATTTCTAAGTGGGAGAACTTGCAAAATAGCTGGGTGTTCAAATACTTATATTCCTCGCTGTATATATATGCACACAACTTGTCTGTAAATATAATTAGACTTTAAAGGCTATATGAAATAAGATTAGATAACGACTTAAAGATTCAATAATTCAGATAAGACCAAACATTTTGTTTGTCTCAAAACTTTACGAGCTGCCGATCTAGACTGCATCATATGACAGCAGCCTAAGAAATTAGACAGCTCAAAAGGTTAAGTACAGTATTTTGTTTTCCACAAATTTTCTTCTTACCTATGTTTAGGTAATAATTAAAAAGTAATAAACAAGCAGCTAAATGACATCGCTAACTGTCCAAACAAACGCAACTTGTCAACAACTAGCCTAGCTACAAGAACAAAACACACCTGTTACACACGCTACAACACTAATTAGATTAGCAACATGTCTAATAATATTTAATCGTCATAATTAGACAATTTCGTGCATGTCAAAGAAGACAAAATGAAGACATGCAACAAAGAACGCAAGCTAACAAACAACTAGCTCGATGCTATATTAATGCCCCAATTAAACTCATCAATATTTTAAACCGCAGCCTCCACAGAGTGACATAACATGAAATATCGTGTTAATCACACACGTTTAAAATAATACGCATCCAATGCCTCTGTAAAAAAAAAAAAAAAAAAAAACATTTACCACAGCTAACCTGGTTCTCTATCAGCATTAGCCATACTTGGTTCAACACTCCAAAATATATATATATATTTCTCTAACATGTGTTAAATAAACTGATATTTAGGAAATACTGTGCACTTTTGTTTTTAAAATAATGACACTTTTATCAAATGATATTCCCTTTAACGTTATATGAACAAAGAGTAGCTAACTACTGTAGCTATATAGCTAATTTGGAAACAAGCCCAAACCGGGACTCGGAGCAGCAAATCTTTGCAAATTATCTTTCAGAATTACCTCCAATAGCATACCAACTCCTGAAGTCAGTTGTTTGTCTCACTGAAGCTTTAATTCATTCGTTCGTGTCGGCTGTGCAGCTACGGGAAGCAGCGCAGCATCATGGCGGAGGATTTTGTGCAGCTGTTGTGCTGCTCTCCAAAACAAGGGTCCATGTGTCCATATCATGCTCAAGTCTCTCAACCCCTAATGAGCTGCCTACCTAGAACGCACATGTGGTGCTCAAACATGCTGTCTATGACTAGGTATGCAGCTCAATAGCATTTGAGACAGTCAAATTTCTGAACTTAGCGTGACGGATTTTATCAAACATTTTCATGGAGATCATTTGTAGGGAATGTGCAGGAAAATACTGTGACGCAGGTTTGAGCAATTATTTTGACATTAAAAGAATAATTCACAAAAACATTCTTATACTGATAACACGAGAGAAAATAAATTGTGATCTGGGTAGCGAATTTGGAAAAACTAGATCTTTTTCTCTTTCTGTGTTCTGTTTTACATTGTAAAGCACTTTGGTCAACTTGTGTTGTTTTAACTGTGCTATAGAAATAAATTTGCTATTGCTATTCCTTTTCGCACACAAAACCAAATAAAGTTGTTATTTTATGCCTGATATTGAAAAGTATAATAATAATAATATATTATTTACTCTTGTTTGGTATGCGTAGTGAAACAAATTGTATTAAAATACTTTCTTTTTTTTTAAAGCCAAGTTTTTATTAAAGGTTTAATTACTTCAAGTAATAGGATTTACTATTCTGTTGTTGATTTAGTAAATCGTGCATTTCCATGAGAACAGCATTACTAGGGCTTCGAGCACAAGGCATAATTCAAATTTCTACTCATGGCATTTTATCCATTTTGCCTAAAATTGTCAACAGAATGCTTAGAATCTTTTGAAACACACCCTTATATACCCCGATAATTAGCGCGTGTGGTTGTGGCTATATTTATTATTATCATTTGCTCTTGGTTGGTATGTGTAATGAACAAACACTCAAATTGTATAAAAAATTAATTTATTAAAAAAAAAAAAAAAAACACTGTCAAACAAAGTTATTAAAAAGGTTTAATGACTTGAAGTAACACTGGACATGTCAGTAATGTGTTCTTGTAGTTGGCATAGTAATTCCTGCATTTCCATTGGGAGAGCGTGGCCGATGTCATCCGCTGCTCGTGACAGGAAGGTGTCTGCTGCCTCTTGAACTGCTGAGCATTTCACCTGATCATCCCGTGTCCAAATCGGAGCATGCATCCTATCAAAGCGCTTTGTGATGGGAGAGTGTAGGTGACCTGGGGAACAAAGATTGAAAGAAGGGTAAAGAGAAAAACTATTATGATCACCTTGTTTTATCACTTAAAATTTCTTGCAAATGCTTAATTCTCTTTTTTATTTGCCTTATTATGTATACACTTAAAAGAGCTGTGATAGCACTAGTTTGTCACCTGTCACCACTTCTTCATAGCTGAGCATCAACATCCACAGAAGCTGAAGAAGTTCATCCCATTTTCTCCATTTCTCTGCTCCATCCTGTCACACCGTGCAGGGAGATCATATCAGTTCAGCTGTTATGCAGAATAACAATGCAAAATGTTAATCTGGAATAAAACACTGTAATGATCTCTTACTGAGGGTTCTGAAGTCAGTGTGGAGCTCTTAAGGTAGTGTAGCAGCAAGCTTAGAGACATGGGCAAGCGTGTCTTCTGAGAACAAGCCTCATCCAGCAGCAGCTTCAACAACTTGCATCTCAGCAGCTTGCTCTCCAGAGTACTCAACAATAAGAGTCTAAAACAATACAAAGGGCAGCAAAAACTCAACATTCAACACAGCTCTGTGCAACATCTAATTATATTGATTATCTTTTTTTATTTTTTTATTGTTCACCTTATCTTCCTGCAAGAACACATTCTGTTAAGACAACTGAAGAGCTCTTCTGAAAGTTTGTCTGAATTGTAGGTGGGGTCCTTGTCCACCTCTAGGGCCAATGATAACATCCTCTGAAGAGATAATACAATCCTGTAACAAAAAAAGTCAAAGTTTCTCTTTTGCAAAGAAAAGAAGGAAAGTAAGTACAATCCAAACTGTTTTCCGTAGACTGTTGTTGTGTGGCAAAATATATTTCCCTAAGAATGTGTTATTTTATACAGAGCCCCTAAAGGGACGTGGTGGTGGAAACATTTTTTTTTTAATCTTTTGCGTTCCCTCGCAAAACTTTTGCATTCTCCCGAGAAACTTTGCGTTCCCTCGCAAAGATGTTTGCGTTTCCTTTAGCAAAGTTATTTGCGTTCCCACGCAAAACCTGTTGTGAGCTCGGACCGACACTTCCTGTTTAATGTTTAATGGACTCAATATAAAGAAATGCGGTCAGTGCTTAACTCAAGGAGGTCAGTGAAGTTGGCAATATATATTCACATAGGCTATTCGAGCTTCCCGGATCACTATTCGTGAGCTAAACGTTGTTAAAACACAAACGACACATTTACAATCACAGTAACCTAGACAACGAGCTACAACCCAATTCTCCTCAAAACGAGCTTTATAATATAAATGTGTCTCTAACCAGCCGATTTAAGGGTGATTCTGAAAGTCCAAATTTTATTCAAAGTCCAAATAAGGGGCCGTCTGCAAAGTGCAAATCCCAAAACTAAACTAAATTTGAACTAAATTTGGTGTTACAGTGAAGTTATTGATGCTGTAGTGGTTTTTTTGGTTATATTTCACTTTGCAGATGGTCCCTTCGGACTTGAGCCGCCTGCTCATAAAGATCCATTTAGCCTATATTATAAAGCTCGTTTTGAGGAGAATTGGGTTGTAGCTCGTTGTCTAGGTTACTATGATTGTAAATAGGTGTCGTTTGTGTTTTAACAACGTTTAGCTCAAGAATATTGATCCGGGAAGTTCGAATAGCCTATGTGAATATATTGCCAACTTCACTGAACTCCTTGAGTTAAGCACTGACTGCATTTCTTTATATTTGAGTCCAAGTTCAAACACTATGAAACGCTCCATTAACGTACGGAGCTCTGAAACACTGCCAGCGGGACATTAAACAGGAAGTGTATGTCTGAGCTCACAACAGGTTTTGCGTGGGAACGCAAATATATTCGCGAGGGAACGCAAAGTTTCTCGGGGAACGCAAAAGTATTGCGAGGGAACGCAAAAATTTGAAAAAAATAAATTCTCCCATCCTAATTTTTTTTCCACCACCACGTCCCTTTAGGGGCTCCGTGATTTTATACTACTGTTCAAAGTTTGGGGTCTGTATGATTTTCTGTTGTCAATTTAAAATAACTGTTTATATTTTTAATTGTAATTTATTTAAACCTGAATTTTCAGCAGTCAATACTCTGCTGTCTTCAGTGTCACATCTTTAAAAAACTTTCTGATATGCTGATTTGCTGCTCAAGAAACATTTCTTATTATTATCCATGTTGAAACCAGTTGTGCTGCTTCATATGTGTGTCAATTTGATACATTTTTATTCAGGCTTATTTGATTAATATAAAGTTCAAGATGACAAAAAAATTCAATTAGATTTTTTTAAACATTATAAGCGTCTTTATTATCACTTTTGATCAATTTAATGCATACCTGCTGAATAGAAGTATTAATTTCACACAAAAAAAATCTTAGACCCCAAATATTTAAACATTAGTGTATAATGATAACAAAATGAGCACTTCATATACTTAAGACAGTTGTCCTCTTTCTTTGGATATTCCACATCTTTTGAGTTGTTCACCGACTCCTTAGCAGCATTAATCATCCAATTTATTAGATCCCTAAGAACAAGAATCACATAATTGCACACATAATATGATATGACAGTTCATTATTTATTACTGTATGCAAAGTAAAGTAAAGCCGATTGCAAAAATTGGGGCTTAAACTCACCTGACTTGCCCAAACGTTTCAGGGCCACATGAAAGCATCTTCTTTGCAACAGAGTGTTGAAGACATTGAGTCCTGAGTTTAAAATGAAAGTCATCTTCTAAAACCTGCAACACATATTGCAGGAGCATGTACCGGACCATCATCCGCAACCTCCTAGTGTCCTCCTTACGACAGGAAGAATTAAGAGAGTGGAACATTTAAGAAAATTTGAGCATTACTTATAAATATAAGTATTTAAAATGTGCTAAAAAGTACCTACCTGATCCTTCATAGCCGTCTTCATCAGTTCCCAATCCCATGGGACTGTAGAAGCATCCACAGGGTGGTATCTGAACATACAAAACAAACTGAAATTATTTATTAACATAAATTGTACGTTTAACACCTGAATTTTTGGGGGGGATTTGGGGGTGGGTGGATATTCCATTTTCATTGAACAGGAAGGGCAGGTAGTATCACATGTTGGAGCACATACACTACCTACCAGGGTACATCTCTGACTTACTCATGACTTTTTCATGAAAATGTCAAATGTTCAGTTAAAATAGTTTCACAAAACTGTTTTAAATGGGGAAAAAACTCAAAGTAGTTGCAGATGTGATCCCACCCACCTCTGAGTCTTCATCAATAGATTATAGGCCTCTACGACTAGGACATCAGTGCTCTGTGGGTCCAAGAAAATCTCCCTGAGCAGATGTTTCGTAATGTCCACCGGTGGGTAAAACCGAGGCTGAATGAAGTCAGAGAGCAGCTGAAGAGTGCCCTCTGGGTAATTCTCCTCAATGGTGCTGTTAACCAAACTAAGGCTCTGTCGGCACAGGGGCTCAGCGGGACCATAGTGTTCACCTTCCTCCTCATCATCATGCTGTTAAAAACGAAAAGTGACTGACTGAAATGTATTTCACTAGGAATACTGTACAAATACTGATTTTCACAAAAGTTTTGGCAGACAAGGGTGTCTGGTTGCGGTCACATTTATCGTTCCTGTAAAATCTGCCACCACTCCCTCAGTCATTGTATTAGAAACACTTACACAGCAGCGTTAACTAGTTTTCTGAAATGAAATGCCAAGGTAATATAATGCAAAATATAGTCTTATAAATCTATATAATATTTAATGAATATATATATAAAATATATAAAATATATAAATAATATATAAAAGCTGCTTGGTTTGCTGCTTCATACATTGCAACACTTTTGACGATTGCAAAATTTTTAATGTGATCGTACCTTAAAGGGATACTCCACTTTTTTGGGAAATAGGCTCATTTTACAACTCCCCCAGAGTTAAACTGTTGAGTTTTACCGTTTTTGAATCCATTCAGCCGATCTCCGGTTCTGGCGGTACCACTTTTAGCATAGCTTAGCATACATCATTGAAGTGGACAAGACCATTAGCATTTCTCAAAAAAAAAATGACCAAAGAGTTTCGATATTTTTCCTATTTAAAACTTGACTCTTCTGTATTTACATTGTGCACTAAGACCGACAGAAAATGTAAAGTTGCGATTTTCTAGGCTGATATGGCTAGGAACTATACTCTCATTCCTGCGTAATAATCAAGAAACTTCACTGCCGTACCAGAGAATGTCGGGCTTTGGCCGTACCATGAGAGCAGCAGGCGTAATGATATGACGCAGCGCCTGAAAATAGTTCCGTTGTGTTGACGGAAGGTGGCCTATTTTCAGGCGCTGCGTCATATCATTACGCCTGCTGCACTCATGGTACGGCAGTGAAGTTTCTTGATTATTACGCAGGAATGAGAGTATAGTTCCTAGCCATATCAGCCTAGAAAATCGCAACTTTACATTTTCCGTCGGTCTTAGTCCACGATGTAACTACAGAAGAGTCGAGTTTTAAATAGGAAAAATATCGAAACTCTTTGGTCATTTTTTTTTTAGAAATGCTAATGGTCTTGTACACTTCAATGATGTATGCTAAGCTATGCTAAAAGTGGTACCGCCAGAACCGGAGATCGGCTGAATGGATTCAAAAACGGTAAAACTCAACAGTTTAACTCTGGGGGAGTTGTAAAATGAGCCTATTTCCCAAAAAAGTGGAGTATCCCTTTAAGAGCTAAAGTAATAAGAGTTTACACTATGATTTGTGTTAAAATGAGCTAACATGGCTAGGCCTGTCACAATCATGAATTTTGTGCTGACTATTAATTGTCAAATAACTTTTATTGGAATCATATATAATAATAAAAGTAAAAAATAGGTCCTTATGATTTACTTTGATGTTGTGATGATATTTATATAATATAATTAATTTAATATAATATAATATAATGCAGTCTGATTAAACCCACAAACCCTCATTTCATATGAAATTACAAATAAATGTGAATTGAATTGAATATGAGGGAAGTCTTTTGTGTTTTATATATTCTTTGGCAAAATTCGACTGAAATTTAAACTGCACAATTATTGCGGTTTTCTCAAATAATTGTGATTAATGAAGAATCTTGACAGGCCTTAAATGTGATTTAAGATTAAGATTTACAGTACATACAGAATAAAAATAAGGAGACAACAATATCATTATTTTGACTATTAAATGTACCTATTAAAAAATGTGCACATCAAAACATCTTACCATCTGTGGAACCATTCCACCCATGCACTGACTTAATTTTCTGTACTGAGCCAGACAAATATGTTGTCCATCTTGGGAGTTGTTTTCAGAGAGATCTGAACCCACATTATCCGGCACATTTTCATTGTCATCGCTGCTTGTCTCCCAAAGCCTGATGGAAGGGCTTTGTGTGGATAGTGCATCTAAATCATTTCTCCTTAGCTCTGCTCTCTCTGAAAAGATTGGCGGGGAGGGCTGCGAGAAGAGGAGGCTGAAGGTGCTACTTGGTGAGCTCAGCGTAGACAGATCAGGGGAATGTGCCGCTGTGTCGCTGGCAAGAATCTCTGTGGAAGTGGGACTGCAGGGTTTACTATGGATAGATCTAAGTTCAAGGCTCCAGTGGGGCGAGGCCCTAGATGAGGTAGGTATGGAGGGGGAAGAATGTGCTGGCCGAACCGGAGTATGTAGGCCCTCATTTTCGCAGATATTCATCGTTTCATTGTTATCATTCAAAGAAAGTGCATTGGACATTGATGGAGTATAAGTATCAGAAGGAAGCTCAAAGGTTTGAGGTGACAGTTGAAAGTTGTATGTTGTAAATGGCTGATCCTTATCTTCAGATTTATTGGATGAGTCAGAAAATATATAAGCATCTACCTCACTCGGACAGTAATATGGACTGTCAAGACTGTAAGAAGAGCGAACACTGCCTTCCCATTTCTGTGATGAGTCAACATTTTCTTTGTTTTCTCGGTCTGTGTCTATGCTGCAGACAGCTGGTGTATTAAGCTGTGTGTCTTTAGTGTTCTGCGATATATCTGCAATAGAGTTCTTTAATACTTCAGATACATTTTTGAAATAATTTTTACTTGTATCATTGGAGCTGCAACGTTCCAAACACTTGTCCCAGCTCAACTGCTCAGACGACAAGCTTGAATTACAATTTGTGTCCTCATGCAAATGATTTTCTGTTCTTTGGAGCACGTCTGTGAGAGCGTTCTCCTGAGCGAGTGACTTAGAGACGACAGACTGCACACTGTTCCCTACAAAACACCCTGAATTAGCTACATCTTTTCCAACACTTGTTCGAGATTGTGATTCTAGAGGTTTTCCAAAAGATGCCAGTGTTACATGCACTTTCTTGTCTTTGCTTTCTGCTGACGGTAGAGTGGGTGACGGATTCTGAAGCTGGACGTCGCCATCATCAGGAGGATCGTCTTCACTTAAATCTATAACTTCTAAGGAGGAGCAAGTATCTCTTCTTGAGCATCTTTGCCTTGAAGGGGTTAACTTGTGGTCTGTGATATCAATGAGGACCTGAGACAAACAAACAATGAAGAAAGTAGGAGAAATTAGGAGAAATATAGTGGTAATTGGACTTTTCAATGGCTTACCACCATTATTGGCAACTACAGAACAGGGGCCAGTAGCATAAACATAGCCATTAAGACTCCGACTTAAGTACTAGTATGACCAACTAGCGGTTAGCCAAGGGGGAATCAGGCGAATCTACGTTTTTATGTTACTGACTTAAAACAGTTCTGAACAGTCTTAAAAAAAGAAATGTGATGACTGACTTGTAAGACTAGTCTTAGCAGTTAATGCAACCAGCCCCAGGTGGCTAGTAATGGCCAGTTGATTGCCATCACAAAATATCACTGAAAGGGAAAGGGTTAGGGTTAACACCACAACTATATTAGCATCCACAACAACGCAGAATATCGTTTTGTTTGTAATAACCGTGCACTGCAGTTATGCCGTCAGCCGCTAACTTAGTTATATGCTCAATGCTGTCGATGTTTTTATCCGTAGCTGGGGGGAAATCGTTGTTAAAAAATGTTTATCTGCGCCGTTATCGTTGTTATAATTAAGTTATAATATGTCGTTATAATTGTGCTGTTCTTTAACATCTGAAACGACTTTTAAAACAATATCTTTATAGTTATCGTCCTTGTTGTAAACGGGCCTTCATCCAACTTATACTGCTACTTAACCAAATAAATAAATACATGGCTATATATTTATTAAAGTTTAAATAGTTGTATTAGCTTACTTGCACAGAAGGTACGTAGAGCGAAAGATCACGATCTGCATTCTGCACAGCTATCAAACGATTTCCCAGTGAGCTCTGGTTTGACCAATCAGAATCACTTATTCCGCGTAATAAAACAGCAAATGATGTACACACATTCATACGCTTAAATTAAACTGTTTCACACAATGCTCGAAATTTACTAAACATATTTACCAAATATGGTATTTATTTCTATAACAAAAGGGCAATGCCAAATATCAGCCGATTTATTATATTATATAATAAATAAATAAATACAATGAATAAAACAAAAATATTTATTTTTACATACATAATATAAATTATAATTATTTAATTTTATTTTGCACTTGAAGGTTGTTGTGTTCTGAAAGCCTACCAAAATCTCTTAAATACTCAGTGACGTCATTTGCGCGCGTACCGCACGCTATGTATAGAAAGCGAAAAGCACGTGCGGTTGGAAACAAGTGTAAATTCACGCACACCCTGAACAAATCTCCTATTTGCATGTGTAATCTACGTGAAAGATACTGTTCTGCGTAGAAATCCATAAAAGCTCAAGCGGACAAAATCAAGCAAGACATTGAGACTCTGATAAACTGCAAATAGTAAACTTACAGGTGTGACTGGGAGCCATTCTGTTCGGATGAACGGAACTCCATCTTCTTTGTCTTCGTTGTAACTACTTATAACCTCTAAATCAGAGTCGTCGTCGCTGCCCGAGCTGACACAAATAATATCCTCCATAATTGTGCCTCACCCTGTCCCATCAGTCATGTTTATACCGACAGATGTCTTGAACAACAAAAATAGTGGATCCAGGAGAGAGCATGAATAGTGCTCTAAGAGTTGATAGTTACTGTTGTCAAACAAACCTCCACAAAAACAAAGAAGTCACGCAGGTAAATGTCAATACTAGTGTCACCTAAATGTTTTGGTTTCACTATTGCAGGATTTGATGAAGGTGGAACTTCCGCAAGTGTCGGTTATGCGGAAGTGTGTTTGGGTTAGTGGATTTACGGACCGGAGTGATTTATTTATACTTGTCTGTATCGGTATGCTTTTAGTTGCGCTGTACGCCACCACCATAAATACCCGTTTGTCACATTCCATATGTATATGAAATTCCAACTTCATAGAATGTAGTTCTATCTATCAGCAAGTTTGACGTGAAGTACACATAATCTTATCATTAAGAGAAGCGGGGATGTAGCTCAGTGGTAGAGCGCATGCTTTGCATGTATGAGGCCCCGGGTTCAATCCCCGGCATCTCCACTTTTTATCTACTTTCTTGTTGTTGTCTACTCTAGAATATAACTTGGACTGTTGTCAAAGTCGCGTATTTATAATAAACGCAAAATTTACAATAATGGATTCTATTTAAAATATTGTAAAATGTCATTTATTCCTGTGATGGCAAAGCTGAATTCTAAGCAGCCATTTACTCCATCTTCAGAGTCACATAACCTCTTTTATTCTAATATGTTGATTTGAATCTCGAGAAACATTTTATCATCCAATTATTTATTATGTTTATGTCCAATTATGGTTGAAAACGTTTTGCTGCTAAATATTTTTGTGGAAACCAGACTAAGATTCAAAAGTTTGTGGTAGCCCAAGATTAAAAAAAAGAAAGAAAGAAATGAATACTTTTATTCAACAATGATGCATTAAATTGATCAAAAGTAAAGACATTTATAATGTTATGTTATAATGTTATAAAAATATATTTCAAATAAATGCTGTTCTTACACTAAAAGAAAAGAGCATTTTTTCCAGATTTACGCATTTCAGTTAATTCAATCAAATTTAATTGAATAATACATATTCGTATTATGAATTAAGAATCTTAAATGTGTAAAAAAGAACTAGAGCTTAATAAAACATTTTGTATAAATCTCAATGGAACAAGGGAATGGACCATTTAATTTATGCGATTTGTATTCATAAATTAAAAAAAGAAAATATGTTTCAATTTAAGTTTAAGATTTATACAAAATGTTTTATTAAGCTCTAGTTCTTTTTACGCAGTAAAATTCCATCAAATTGAATAATATTATTATTTATATTATACATTCCCTCTCTCGGGTCTGGCCTTGACGTGGCGAGGGGGCTTGCATGTTCCAGTGACCCTGGAGAGCGATACCGTCGGGAGCTCGCTCCTGGTAGGGTCACCCTAGGCGGCCCGGTCTCCAGGGTAGGTTCCAGACAAACAAAGACCCCAGCATGTCGGTATGCTGCAAGGTGGCAGCCCCACCAACCGACTATCCTGCGGAGGGCTAACAACCCACCCAGGAGAAACTATTTTGTTACGAAACCAATCAGAGAAAGTAGCCGGACAGCCCAACACGGTAACGGACCCCTGCCTGCCCCCGACCAACGAGTACGGTTAAACCTTTGCCGCAGTGCCCGAGTCGCCACATGGAATGTCCAGACACTTCTTCGCCCAGGAGCTGCCACCCTGCTGTCCAGAGAGCTCTGCCGCTATAACATCTCCTTGGCAGGGCTCTGTGAAGTTCGATGGCACGGCAATGGCGAAACAACAGCAGGCGACCATTGCTATTTCTGGAGTGGCCCCGAGAGACGGACAGGCCTTTATGGCGTGGCACTTGCCATCCCAAAGGCCCTCTGCAAATCCCTCATCAACTGGACACCCCTGAGCGACAGATTACTGTCAGCCCGCTTTCTCCACCAACATGGCAAGATGACAGTAATCGTTGCTTATGCCCCCACCGATGTCGCTGATGAGGATGCAAAGGACGCCTTCTTTGACCAACTCCATCAGGCTGTTGGCCAAGCCTCACCACACGACATCACCATCATCCTCACCGATGCCAACACCTCTCTGTCTAGCAGTGATCGGTCCACAGGCTCACCAGTCGGCACAACCTTTGCTGACAGGTCCACAAACGACAATGGTAACCGCCTTCTCCTTCTCTGGCATCACAACAACCTTTTAGTTGCTGATACCTGGTTTCCCCGGAAGCTTATCCATCACTGGACATGGTACAGCCCAGATGGCAGAACCAGGAAAGCGCTGGACCATATCCTCATCTCTCGACGCTGGAAGCCGTTTGTCACCAACTGCCGCGTGTACCGAGGAGCAGAGCTTGGCAACACAGACCATCGCTTGCTGGTGGCCCAGCTCAAGTTAAAGCTGCGAGCCAACCAGCACACTAAGACTCAGCCTCGCCTCAACTCCTCCCTACTCAGTGATCCAAACATCGCCACAGAATTCAGTTGCGCCATCCGCCGCACCTTTGATAACCTGACTATCGACAAGGTGAACGACTGGCAGACCTTCAAGGAAAGTGTCATCCAGTCAGCTCACAAAGTCTTCGGATGCTTTCGACCTTCCCCGAAAAAGCCTTGGATATCGGAGAGGACACTCCACATCATTGACCGGCGCCGTGAGGCCCGGCTCCGAGGCGACATGGCGGAGTATCAGCGACTGAACCGCCAGCGCAATGTGGCTATAGCCGAGGATAGGGAGAAGTTCTGGCAAGCAGAAGCTAAACACCTAGAGTCCGCGGCCAATAACAACAATATGAGCCGGGTCTTCAGTCTGCTGCCGCAACCCCGTAATGGTCCATGCATCAAGACAGCCCTGGTGAAAGATTCCGATGGCAACCTTATAGCAACTGAAGCAAACTGCCTCGAACGCTGGAAAGAGCACTTCAGCCTCCTTCTGCAGCACGGTACCTCCCCAGCCGATACCACCATCTCATCGGCCGCTAATGCTGCAGTCCTTAGTGCTGTCTGCAGTACAGACCCTGTCACACCTGAGTAAGTCAGAGCCGCTCTGGAAAAACTTAACAACAGGAAAGCCCCCGGCATCTGTGCAATAACCGCTGAGATGCTAAAATCCGGCGGTGAAACCATCATCGAGTGGCTCACCCACATATTCAATGAGGTGTGGGAGACAGAGAGGCTTCCCAGCGACTGGACCAGAGGAGTCATTTTGCCCTTCTGGAAACGTAAGGGCGACAGGTTAGTCTGCGGCAACCACAGAGGCATTACCCTTCTCTCCATCCCCGGAAAGCTCTTTACCAGGATCTTGCTCACTCGTGCTCTCCCAGCCATCAGAAGCAGCCACCGTCCCCAGCAGGCTGGCTTCATGCCTAACCGCTCCACAACAGACCAAATCTCCGCCGTTCGCTTGCTGATAGAGAAGACCTATGAATTCCGTAAAGATCGCCATCTTTACATCGGGTTCATAGATCTGAAGGCTGCCTTTGACACCGTTTGCCACACTTCACTGTGGAGTATCCTACACGCCCTTGGAGCACCACCCAAGATCGTTGCCTTGTTCAAGCTGCTTTATAGCAATGCTCAGAGCTGTGTCCGCATCAACGGCAGAGACTCAGACTGGTTTTCCATCTCCAGTGGCGTTCCCCAGGGCTGCGTGGCTGCTCCTGACCTCTTCAACTGCATCATTGACCATCTGATGTCTAGGGTGTGTGAGCGGGTCCCCAGAGTGTCCTTCGGCAGTTACCACCTGACTGACCTGGAGTACGCTGACGACACCATCCTGCTCAGCACGTCCTACAACCAGCTGAGAGATGCTCTGGGCATATACAGCGAAGAGGCTGAGAAGCTTGGCCTTCAGGTGAGCTGGACAAAAACCAAGTTCATGTATGTCGGTGACGGACCGCATCCAACTTCCCTGCGGCTTGGCAATTACATTGTAGAGCCTGTCAAGAACTTTGTGTATCTGTGATCCTTAGTGACAGACAATGGGGAGCTAAAACCAGAGATTACCCGCAGAAGAGCCCTGGCTGCGTCAGCCCTGCAGTCTCTCTGGAAACCACTCTGGCGGCATCAGACCATCTCACGCAAGACGAAGCTCCGGATTTACAACTCGGCAGTACTCTCCATCCTGCTTTATGGCTCGGAGACTTGGCCCTTAAATAAGACACTGACTGCGAGATTAGATGGCTTTGATAGCAGGGCCCTCAGGACCATCGAGAACATCAGGTGGCCCCAGCGGGTTTCCAATCAAGTGCTTAGAGCCCGCACGTGCCAGCCCAGAGCATCCTGCCTGGCTGCGCAACGTCGCACCCGCTGGCTCGGCCATGTCCTCCGTCTCCCTCCTGACCATCCGACGAGAGCCATTCTCCAGTTTGATCCGAGGGCCACAGACTGGAGACGACCACGAGGTAAACCCTGCACCCGATGGCTCGACGTCCTTGCGAGCGACCTCCAACAACATGGAGTTGCTGTGGAGGATGCAGAGCTGCTGGCACAAGACCGTCAGCACTGGAAACAACTGGTTCATCTAGTCGGCTCAACGCACAGGGATGGGACGCCCCCCCCCCCACCCATCGCAGGAGCCAAAATGAAAAATGAATGAATATTATACATTAAGAATTTTGAATATTAATTGAAATGCATAAATCTTGAAAAAAGTTTCACGATTTACACAAAAATATTTAGCAGCAAAAGCTGTTTTCAACATTGATAATAATAAGAACCATTATCAATTGAGCACCAATAATAATTGAGCCAAATCAGCATATTACAATGATTTCTGAAGACTGGAGTAATGGCTGCTGAAAATTCAGCTTTGCCACCACATGAATACATTTAAAATATATATATATATATATATATTTTTAAATGATATATATATATATATATATATATATATATATATATATATATATATATATATATATATATATATATATATATATATATATATATAATAGAAAACAGTTATTTTCAATTGCAATAATATAATATTTCATAATTTCATACTGTTTTTACTGTGCATAAATACTTTGTTCAAAAGTTTGTAATAATTACATTTTTTAATGTTTTTGATATATTTATATCAAGCACAATACTTTTGCCTAAACAGGAGCATGAGTGACTCACTGGGAGTCTGCATCGGGTTAGGTATTAATCAGAGCCGCCCCTTGTGAGAGCAATGTTAAGGCCCATGTCCTGGGTGCACAATGAAAATCTGTATTGCGGAGTTCCTCTAAAGGGATCCCAGTTGTCTTGGAGACAAGGAAGTTCACTTGGCCTTTTGTGGCTTGATCACTCTCTTTTTGAACACACACATCCATTCACACATAAACTTCCTGCCTTGTGCATCTTTCTAAAAATACGATGACCACATCTGCCCTTCTGGCCGGCGCACTTTGACCTGTGGGTCAAAATCATCACTAGGACAACAAGGCATTAATGCACTCTTTGCTTATTCCGCTCCCTCTCTCTCTCTGGAAAGTTGTTTGTAAAATAGCTCAAATTTCCAGTATAGCACGTGCCATTTTAAAGCTATTAAAAGCTGTAATATCTCAATAAGATCGAGCACTGAGGTGATAAGGTTTCTGGCCCTTTTGACAGGTTATACTCTGAGAAGTTTAACAGATCAGGAGGTCAAGTTATACACTATAAACATTCAGCACACGCCTCTATTGCCCATGTAAGTATGCTTTTCCAATCCGGATATTCCCCTGGGACTCGCACAGTATTATTCAGCGAAAAAGACAGATAGCCCATCTGGAAATGTGCTTTCGCTCTTGCTTTCTGCCATGATACACAAACTAAAGTTAACCCCTGCACTGAAATCCCAGTTTTATTTTATTTGATTTTTTTACTGGATTTTATTCATTTTCTGTGCGCCGACAAATGTTTACATTTCTTAAATGCAGAAATTGTAACAAAGAAGTTGTGCATCTCACTCTGTAATGTCGTAGACCAAACAGCAACAATGCATTTAGCTAGATCTGTTCAAATCTTAGTTTTTAATTTTTTTTAATCCTTCCGTTAAGAGGATTTAATCCAGACATATCCACAACTACACACAAGCCCAAAGATAAAGTGTAACCCTAATCCGGCAGTTGACTCAGATCTCACATAAAAGGATCCATATGTAAATGTTCATACTGTGTTCATTGGTTTTTTATCCATTATTTAATGGCATGTGATGGAATCTATGAGACATTTGAGTTTTAAATATAAAGTATAGGAAATTTGGCAAAGAGTGGACAAACATAGAGGGCAAACATGTGCAACTAAGCATGTCTCTAAATCTCCTCACTGGATATAAAGAGGCTTTTTTTACAGTAGTATCTTCCAAACACAGAGAGAGAGTGAGCAAATGCCCGATGCACTTAGCAGGGGTGGGTGGGAACGTTACTGAGTGGGGTATTAGGAGTCCATTGTGCAAGTGCAGAGGCAGAAGGAGAGAAAGGGTGGTGGGGGTGAGGAGATGTGAGGAACACATCTGTTCAGGAACAGAGAAGGAGGGCAAGCACGACAGAGCACTCGAGTGCAAAGGGAGAAAGAGAAAGAAGTTGTTGGGACGGTAAGCATGTCCCAATTCTTTCTATTTTGAATGAGATAATTTCTTGCATTAACTTCGACTTTGCATAAAACTGTAATTGTAACTTTTCTTTGATGTCGTCTGAATATTTTGAGCTTTTTAAATTAGATTAAAATGATAATGGATTCATTGTTATGTCTCATAAATATTTTTCTCTTTATCGTGGCGTAAATTATGGCTTTAAATGAATGCTAACTCAAGGATTACATAAAGCTAAAATCTCTGTCTGAGAATTTATTACCACACCTTGATCCCTATGTCAACAGATTTTCAAACAGATTGTGGTAGAGCACAAGTGTAACACTTTTTCATTTTTTCTCATATTTTCGGAAAATGTTTAGCTTAAAGCTTTGAATCCACACACCCAGAAAATACTTCTAATATACAAATTGGCACAAGACTTTAAAAAATAAATATATTTTTAGCCTATAAAGCTTTGAAATATGCTTTCATATGTTAGCAGTCAGAAACAGTTCAACTTGAAGTACACAAAGGTTGAGGTTTCTTTTCTATAATTTAGTCTGCATTATTGTAATGGCAGCATATGATAAATGACAAATACATGTTAAATTAAATGAAAATATGACCCTAAAAGTTTTATAAGTTTATAAGTTTTTACACTGTCCTCTACACACACACATCTGAAACTGTCAGAGATTTTGTGACAAGGTTGAGAGATTGAATTGCCGATCGTAAATGACACATGCGGATGCATTGTGCAATATGCTATTGTATTTATTGAGCGCATTTATGCAGGTTCTGTCTTTCTTTCAACTGTCTTTCTTTGACTGAGTCAGACACTTGTGATTTTATACACATTTACATGCATACATGTGTCTCTGCCCTTTGTTTCCTGTCAGTCTCCCTCTCTTTCTTACACTGTCCTCTGTCCTTGTCCCCTGAGACTGGCAGTGTTTTCCTTTAATTCCATTATTCCATAACTCTTCTTTTCCGTGCCCCGTTCCCCCGTCCCTCCTCTACTCTAACAACCCGTCCTCTCCCACATGGTCTCATTTCTTTAATGAAATGACACCTGCCAATTTAATTAAAGCCCCACATCCGCTATGCTTGTCCTCTTTTCTTTTAAAATGAAACACATAAAACCTCTGCCGCCTTTTCATCCTTCATTCTTTGATACTTGCCATCTGCAATTCAATCATGCAGCTTAACAACCAAAGCAGTCAGCAGTGTAGTAGTATAAATTATTTTAGGACTGAAAGAGGTCCTAAGTTAAGCAATCCCTTGTAATGAGATTGCACAACTGATTTAATTTACATTCTTTTAGGAAGTTGTTGTTGTCCTTTAGAATAGAACACAATCTTGAATAATCATTACTAAATTATCTCCAAACTCTACATTTACAGTGCTGGCATCAATCCTACACATCCTCAACACAAGAGAGGCCACCATCTCAGTTTCAGCGAAGATGACGTCATTGAAATCAGTTGACTGAGGAGGATTGACATTGTGTAACATTGGTATTATGGCGATGTTTTGGACAGCAGTTGTTTTCTACATGTGTGGACGTACAGTGGACGTTTATGGAACGGCTGATAAAGATGTACTGCCAACCAGTCTGGCAAGAACAGTTACATCTACCACTTTACCCACTGTCATACCCACAGAAGATGAGAGCATTAAACTTGTGGTGAGAATGTGTCTTGAACTTATACACGATTCAGTTGGAAAAGATTTTTCTGTAACGCTTCCTTTTACAGTACAGTACTTACGTGTACTTACAGTGTACTTACCTAGAAAGTACTGGCTAATATAAGGTAAGTACATGGATTAGGGGTAGGTTTAGGGGTAGGTTCAGGGTTAGTACCTATAGTTATTACCCAGTAATTATAATTACTATAATAAGTACATAGTAAGTACATGGGTAACAGGACTGTAAAAGGAAGCGTTACCGATTTTTCTTTGTTGAAGTGTTTCATTAAAAGTCAACATGAAAATGACCCTATTTTCTTACCCATTTCTTTATTTTCCTTATCCTTAATGTACCTTTCTAGACTTATTGTGCCTGATCCATTGGTGTATGTTTTCCCACATTATTTAGTTCAATTCCCATAAATGATTAACAATGCATAATTAGCAATTATGGCAAGTTTGGGGTCATTAATTTTGTTTGTTTTTTGCGTGTGTTTTTAAGTCTCTTCTCCTCACCAAGGCTGCATTTATTAGATAATCAAATACAATAAAAACAGTTATCAATTATTATCAATGATGAACAGTTCTGCCGCTTTATGTTTTTATGGAAACTATCTTTTTTTTTCAGGATTCATTTTTTCAGTATTATTTTAAATAAAAATCTATTGTAACAATGTAAAAGTCTTTACTGATCAATTGAATGCATCCTTGCGGAATAAAAGTATTTCTTTCTTTCAAAAATGTTGTTTTGTTTGGCAGGATTGGCTCACGAAGTATGGATACCTCCCACCCCCTGATCCCTCTACAGGTCAGTTACAGGCCTGGACAGCTGTTACTCAAGCAGTGAAGGAAATGCAGAGGTTTGCTGGTTTGGATGACACAGGAGTCTTAGGTATGAACAACACTTTCCCCCACTCTTTTGAAATCTCAGTCTTATTGGATGCCTTCCTTAATTCCCTCACCTTCCTGTCACAGATGAAGCGACTGTTCAGTTGATGCAGACACCCCGTTGTTCACTTCCGGATGATGATGATCAAACCATCCAGCTTTCAGCATTACACGGTGATATTGAAAATCAAAGGATGAAAAGAGCAGTTTCTACCTGGACGAGAAGAAATATCAACTGGAGGTTAGACTGATTATTTTACCAGTTGTGTTTTTCTTCCTGCTTTTTCTACCTTAACTTACTTGATAGTTAGTTTACAGGATCACATTAAAGTAAAGACTGAAGAAAAAGATTAAAAACACATAAGCACGTGCAAACAAAATGTTTGTTCTTGGTCCAACTCTCTTATTTCTCAGGTTGCGCTCTTACCCTGCATCTTCTAAACTGTCCCGTGAAATGATTCGCTCCCTTGTGTACTATGCCCTCCGAGTTTGGGCCGATCCAACATTGCTTGAGTTTCATGAGGTTATGGCTATACTTTTTAAAACAAAAAAATTAGCACTGTGTTTCTGACCTTAACAATGTTCCTGTTTTTATGGGTTCATGTAAATACATGTTGAACTATTTTGAATAGGTGCGAGGACCAGAGGGAGCAGATCTCCAAATAGATTTCTTGCATGGTCCCCATGGAGATGGATATCCCTTTGATGGAGCAGGTGGATCTGTTGGCCATGCCTTCTTTCCATCAGACCCAGACAGGGCAGGTGGAGTTCACCTGGATGCAGAGGAGGAATGGGCTTTCAGAGGTAATTCTGCAAAACACAAAGCCAAAATAAAACCCATCAGGGTATATCAGTACATTATCCACTGATATTAATATAATGACCAATAATTTTCATGTAATAGCCAAAAATAAAAGCAATCATTTTGCTACAAGCGAATTTAAGCGTCACAAACTTATAATGGGCAATATGACAAACAAATATTTTCTATCAAATATGAGATTTGCTAAATATTTTAACAGCTATTAAATAATTGTTGTTTTTAGAGATTAGCCTCCCCATCTCACACTTGCTTAAGTTTTGTTTTCACGCCATGTTGTAATTGTACGCAATAACACATGATGTTCTACTCAGAGCTGTCTACGTCCTCTGAATTATGCACTTCTCTAAAGTGGTCAGGTGGCACAGCGGTCACAGTACAAGTTGGAGCTCTCCGAAAATTCCCATTTTACAAGTTGTAATTTCGAGGTTGTGAACGCTTTTTACAAATCGTATTCTCATAATTACAGTGCCTACGACATGGCGTGAACGCACCTTTAATCTAAATGTAAAAATAGGAGGAAATTAGTAATTAAATATCCACAATGAAGTATCCAATATACTTCATTTACATATATATATATATATATATATATATATACACTCATCTAAAGGATTATTAAGAACACCTGTTCAATTTCTCATTAATGCAATTATCTAATCAACCAATAACATGGCAGTTGCTTCAATGCATTTAGGGGTGCTGTCCTGGTCAAGACAATCTCCTGAACTCCAAACTGAATGTCAGAATGGGAAAGAAAGGGGATTTAAGCAGTTTTGAGCTTGGCATGGTTGTTGGTGCCAGACAGGCAGGTCTGAGTATTTCACAATCTGCTCAGTTACTGGGATTTTCACGCACAACCATTTCTAGGGTTTACAAAGAATGGAGTGAAAAGGGAAAAACATCCATGATGCGGCAGTCCTGTGGGCGAAAATGCCTTGTTGATGCTAGAGGTCAGAGGAGAATGGGCCGACTGATTCAAGCTGATAGAAGAGCAACTTTGACTAAAATAACCACTCATTACAACCGAGGTATGTAGCAAAGCATTTGTGAAGCCACAACACGCACAACCTTGAGGCGGATGGGCTACAACAGCAGAAGACCCCACCGGGTACCACTCATCTCCACTACAAATAGGAAAAAGAGGCTACAATTTGCAAGAGCTCACCAAAATTGGACAGTTGAAGACTGGAAAAATGTTGCCTTGTCTGATGAGTCTTGATTTCTGTTGAGACATTCAGATGGTAGAGTCAGAATTTGGCGTAAACAGAATGAGAACATGGATCCATCATGCCTTGTTACCACTGTGCAGGCTGGTGGTGGTGGTGTAATGGTGTGGGAAATGTTTTCTTGGCACACTTTAGGCCCCTTAGTGCCAATTGGGCATCGTTTAAATGCCACGGCCTACCTGAGCATTGTTTCTGACCATGCCCATCCCTTTATGGCCACCATGTACCCATCCTGTGATGGCTACTTCCAGCAGGATAATGCACCATGTCACAAAGCTCGAATCATTTCAAATTGGTTTCTTGAACATGACAATGAGTTCACTGTACTAAAATGGCCCCCACAGTCACCAGATCTTAACCCAATAGAGCATCTTTGGGATGTGGTGGAACGGGAGCTTCGTGCCCTGGATGTGCATCCCACAAATCTCCATCAACTGCAAGATGCTATCCTATCAATATGGGCCAACATTTCTAAAGAATGCTTTCAGCACCTTGTTGAATCAATGCCACGTAGAATTAAGGCAGTTCTGAAGGCGAAAGGGGGTCAAACACAGTATTAGTATGGTGTTCCTAATAATCCTTTAGGTGAGTGTATATCCAGTATTGATAGTGACTTAAAATTGGCATATAGGTTAATGCCCTTTTACAGTCTTGATTTTGTTTTTGGGGTCTACTAGAATAGGTTTTCATGCTTGAATGTATAAAAAAACACCAAATTGTTTCACATATCTTACTTTTTGGCAGCACCTCTCTTCCTAGTCTGTCAGTAACGCTCTTTTTAGTTCCTGTCTCTATGGCCCTGTCCCAAATGGCACCCTAAACACTCGCGGTCTTCCTACGAGTCCGCACTTTCGTGACATAACACCACTTTGACTTTCGGGAAGAAGTGTACTGCGGAGCTTGCATCAGTGCGGGCTCGGCAAAAAAGAGAATCGAGGGCGCATATCGACCGCAAAAGGGGCGCTCGCAAGCACCCTTCTGAAACCTAAAATGACAAATGGGACACCCTACGGTCTCATGGACTTAACGGACACACGCATGCGGCAGCCATTGTAAGTCCACAAGAACGTAAGTGCATATGAAGTGTGCCATTTGGGACAGGGCATAAGAAGCCCCTCCTTCCGAAAAGCTCAATGTGCTCTTAATATTTACACACAGCAATTGAGGGCACAGATCTGTTCACGGTGCTGGTGCATGAGCTTGGTCATGCCCTCGGACTGACCCATTCATCAGCACGGCAATCTGTAATGCGTCCATACTACCAAGGGCCCCTGGGAGACCCACTCCACTTTAGCCTGGGACATCACGACCTTCAACACATCACAGCCCTTTATGGTAACTGTCATTAAACTCCTCGATTGGAATCTCTGTTCGGCAGTTATAGCTCATGGGATTCATGTGAAATCTGAATATCATGTACATGAGACTCAAATAATCTATTCTGCATGTGTGTGTGTGTGTGTGTGTGTGTGTTTATGAATTCAGGTAAGAGGGGTGACCATATTCCAACAGACAGGCCTCTTCTTGTGACGGAAGCTCAATTGCGTCATCGGCATGGAGGAATACACAGACTCACACACATGTACAGGCATGCACACAGTCAGTTGGACAGGTAAGAGAGGATCAATAAAACTTTTTGAATTGAACGTCAAATCAAAATTGAGCCTATTTACTAATGCATATTCTTTATTGTGCCTAATGCTGGAATACTACTACAAATATAATATGAAAAGATTTTAAATTGTATTTTGTATTGTATCTAAAATTAAATGTTATATTATTGGAGTATGTTTTACAAAATAAAAACACTAGGAAATACACTAAACGACATCATACACTATACCAGACTTATTAGTAAAAAAAAAAAAAATTCTTAGGAGGGATGCATGGTGCATTTGGGCAAAAGTTGTGTGATGTATTCCTGCCTTAACTAGATACATCACATTACAGAACTATAATGTGTCCTGAACACTGTTTTATGCTGATTTTAAAGACATGAATCTAAATTTGAATATTTAAATATCTTGGAAACTTTTCTTGGAAAAATGTTTGTTAGTTTGTTCAAATGTATTTTATTGAAGAGAAAAATATTTTGAAATGTCTCACTTTGTCTCAATCAAGTTCTGTGGATCGCTGTAACACCAGTTTTGATGCAGTTGCCAAGATTCGAGGAGAGATTTTCTTCTTCAAAGGTAGATATTTGAAGTATTTAAATAATTTAGGGCTAATTTATAGAGTTTGGAGTATTAAAAAAAACCACTTCCTCCACTTTGTGTTTTCATCTTGTTATTGGTCTACCAGAGACTTTATCCATTCATTCAGTGTCACCATATACAGTAAAAATAATTTATTCTTATTTCTCCCTTTTTAAATATCTCTCTTACCCTCACACATTTTGCAGGGCAGAACATGTGGAGAGTGAGCAGAGGTGGTCTCGTGTCAGTCAGGGCTGTTCCTGTACAGAGACTTTGGTCGGCTCTTCCTTCTTCACTGCCTCCACTGCGAGCGGTTCTGGAGAGACACACAGATCATGCCATCATCTTTATCAGTGGTCAGTTTCCCACAAACCCACATTTTTGTGCTGATTTCAACCCCACTTTTGTGAGTTCATTTATTTAATTTAAAGAATAAAGATTTATTTTACTTGTCTCAGTGCAAAGAATAAAAATATGGTTAAGTGCAAATAGCATTAAATAATTTTTACACTAAGTGTAAATAGCAGTATTTTTAAGTGTAAATAGTGTTGTACATTATAAAACAGTATGCAATAACAACAACATATTCAGTGTACATGATTATATTTATTATAATCATAAATGGATGCTGCCTTTTTGGGACCTTACTTGTCCCTATCCCTAAAGCACAACTCTACACCTATTTCCACTTTTCGAATATTTTCTTAAATTTTTATTTAAAATAAATGCTTTTCCGAACTGAAATGCAATGGGGAAAAGGATGAAGAATGGCAGCAGAAAAAGGCGGATTTGGTTGTGTCAAAGCTAAATCCTCTATAATTACTCACCATGCCACTGTTCTTGTTACAACATGGATTTCTTTTGTAATTTGGCCTGGCTCAAACAGACAATGGTGGGCGGAGTCAGTGTAAATAGCTTTTGCCAACAAGATGGGCTATTTGCAAGAGTGTCTATTTGTAAATTGCCACTCTGTAAAAATATAACTTATATAGACAGGCTGATATATCCGCATAAAATGAAAACACACTTTTTAGATGGTTCCTAAACCCCTGCTACTTTTATTTAACACACATGTGCAGGTTCCCAGGTTTGGCTGTTCAAGGATCTGTCACTCCAAGACGGTTTCCCTCAGCCTCTGTCTACTCTGGCTCTGGAGGACTCAGAGGGACTGTGGCAAGGATTGCACTGGGACCCTACTCAGGGTGTGGTGTGGGGGCCTTTGAGAGAGGACGGAGAAAAAGGAGAAAGCTCAGAGGAAAGCAAAGTCTGGAGAGATCTTACTGAAGGAGGAGTGAATGGAATCATCACTGAGAATGATGACGAGAGAGAAAGGGCTGGAGACTTCAAGGGTGTGTTGCTTTTAGAATATTTATACAATACAGCATTGTATGCGGAGGTATGTGTAACAGTGTTTCACAACACTACTGACTTTTTTTATCCTCTACGTCAATCAGGTTCGACCTACGTTTTCAAAGGCAACTCCTATTGGAAATTTACTCACCCAGGCTCAGCCCCTGAAGAAGGATACCCCCGACCTCTGGCCGCCGATTGGTTGGACTGCCCTCAGCCGTCCTCTTACAGCCCCGGTGACATCTCTTTGATCTCCCACTATGGTCAACGGGAGCTTCGTGAGCAGAAAGGGCAAAGAATAATCGACCAGATCAGGCACAAAGACAAAACAAGAGATAAACCTCATAGCTGGGACTGTCCATGTCTAAACAGTGCAGTGACTCAAACTGGACCGATTTTACTTCTGCCCGTTTTATTTCTGATCACTGTGATTTGTTAACCGTCACTTTAATTTTTTCCACTTTCAAGTTCACAATCATACCCAAAAATGACTTATATTTTCCTTGACTTTTAATCTCTGACCAAAGGAAGACATATGGAAATAGTTGGCAAGATGAGTTAAAAATCAAAACGTGTTTTTCTGTTGTTGTACGTACAATAACTCCTAACCGAAACGCTGGTCTTATTTCTCTGTTAATTCTAGTTTCAGTTGCTAAACCTCCTTAGAATTATCAAGTTAGGTTAGTTATACTGCAGCACATTCTTGTTCATATCATCAACCAAAAAAGTATAAAACAAACATCAACAAAATGCCTGATGTTAATGAATTACAGTTCAGAGTCTGTCAGTTCACTAAAGCTTGTGAAGGAGGCAAATAAGCACAATACTATACGCCTCCTTCAGAAGCTTTAGAGTTTAAAAGCATGATGATATTATACATATTTTGATCATGAAGATGCAGAGAGCATCCATTGGGTTCCAAAATGTGATTTATTCATGATTTCTCCTTATTAAAATAGTGTGAGAATTTAGATTAAAGATAAAGTGCAAAGAAAAAATGACTGTGTTTGTCATACTACTGGTAAATACCAATGTACTTTTTCAAAATAATTTATTACTGTGGGATGGATGATCAAATAATTATATAATAAAATCTAAATAAAAATGATATGTACATTTGTTGTAAAATATTTTATGGAATCTACTTTTATCAATAATATATTTTATAAATATTACATTTCTTTATTCTTTTTTTTTTTTTTTTTTTTATGTACCCAAAAACTATGGAAAAAAAGAGAGAAATAGGAGCATTATTTATTAAATACTGGAATGCTCTGTTACCTCGGGAATTTCCTGGTCCCTAAAGTCCAAAGTTTTTCCCACTTTAATAATTTCGGTTTAGTGGTGCTATAGCATCACAAACAACTGTTGCGTCACTTCAGAAAAACCAGATGATAATGTGTGATAAGCAGTTCTATTTAAAGTACTTGTTCCCCAGGCGATGCAGCATAACTTTCTGAAGTTCTACAATGTTGTCTTTGGTGGTTTTGTCTGCTTTTCTGGGCCTGTTTAGTTTAAATCAGGCCACTCTGCCAGGCTGTGAGGAGCTCACAACGCCACTAACGTTGGAGGATGACTCCAAAATTGTAAGTATTCTTTCAAAGTAAACAAACACTACAGCAGTTTAAATAAGACAATAAGGCACTTAAATTTCACAGCTTCTATTTTCTTCCAAACAGATCATGGGGAAATGGATCTTCCTTGAAGGCATAGCTGATCACCACTTCTTTACAGATATATTGAAGACTGTGAACAGCTCATGGATGGAGTTTGGCCCAAGCACTCTTACACTTGCAAACACGTTATCTCTCAGTCAAGGGAACATGCTGTAAGATTGTCCTGTTTTTAAACATGTTTTTAAATACATTTCATTATGACCAGAATTCTGAATCCGATCACTCTCCCCCTCAGGAAAGGAAAATGTGAGTTTAGCACCATCAACACAGTTCTTAAAGACAGTACCTTTTATGCCAATGGTAAGTTAACAAAAGCGGATTCATTTCAGTCCAAACTCATGACTTCCGAGCACTAAAGAATGTTATACTGTTGTTTGATCCACAGAGACTGACGCAATATCAGAGGGAAAATTCTTGCCGTCCTGTCCAGAGTGTCTCACCATGAGCTTCGTCAGCCAATTCAAAAATGAGACCATAAAAACGCTGTACTTTTTCAGTAAGTCACAAAATCCATATAGATGTAGACATTACATAAGGTTACAGTACTGCATTTCATGACAAATTGTGTGTGATGTTTTCCTCGTTGCAGAGAGAGAGAGCAACCCAACCGAGTCTGACATGGACATGTACTGGAAGCAAGCTGAGTGTCTTGGATTCAAAAGAGAAGCCCAGTACTCCTATGATGGTGTAACAGGTCAGTTTGGGTTTCAAGCACTTGTAGTTTTCATTGAAAACCTCCGATTTTAGTTCTGATGTAGAGAAATTAGATCCTGGTCAGGTGAGATTCAACATCACTTCTTGCATAGGCCTACTAAATCTGTATAAAACATTCAGTTTAATTTTAACTCATGATATGTCAAGATCATAATTTAACTCCCAAATCAAAAAGAAATCATAATGAATTGATATGCAATTATTTACATATACAATGCACACTGTAAATTGACATTTTCTTTTTTGCTGCACAAAATAAATAAAATGTAAGAACCACTAAAGAACAACGTGTCTGTTATTCATCTTGGTGTGCATTTTTAATAAACCGGGATAAAAAAGGGTCACATTCGTACCTCATAAAACTTTATCAGAAAAAAATATACACTACCGTTCAAAAGTTTGGGGTCGGTACGATTTGAAATACTTTTAAAAGAATTCTCTTCTGCTAACCATGGCTGCGCTTATTTGATTAAAAATACAACAAAAATCAGTTATAGTATTAAATATTATTCCAGTGTAAATCAGCTGTTTTCTGTGTGAATATATAGTAAAGTGTAATTTATTCCTGTGATCAAAGCTGAATTTTCAGCATCACCAGTGTCAGTGTCTTCAGTGTCAAATGATCCTTCACAAATCAGTATAATATGAGGATTTGATGCTCAAGAAACATTTATTATTATTATTAATGTTGAAACAGTTGTTGGTCTGTCAGTTGTACAGTTTTTTTTTTTTTTTTTTGGATTCTTTGATGAATAGGAAGTTCAAAAGAACAGCATTTGTTTGAAATAGAATCTTTTGTAACATTATAAATGTCTTTACTGTCCTTGATAAATAAAAGTATTGATTTCTTTCCTCCAAAAAATAAAAATAAAATTCTCACTGACCCCAAACTTTTGAACGGTACGGTAGTGTATATAAATGTGACTGTGGGTAAGATTATATCTTTTGGGATTGTCCTCCTTTCTAAAGGCGCATGGTCTTTCTGACAAGGACTTGCCCACAGTTTTATGCACTCAATTGATTCCAATTCACAGAACCTGTTGCATCACTTCAGAAAAGATAGAGAAGTACTATGTGGCAGGCATGTTAGAGAAACAGACATTCTGTGCAAGTATAAAATACAGAAGATGCTTTCCAGGTGAAACTAACATCCTGCTCATGATAAAGAAGAATGTTGATATGAATTTTGCTTAAATTATTTAACACATCTGGTCTTGCATTTGGATACAAAAAATGCCTGAAGCTGCGAGAGCAACTATTTACACGTCAAAGCAAATCAATGACATCAAATCTAGTAACAGGTTTACGTTTTCCGTGTTGTTAGAGACTACCATCAATGTTGGGTGCAAATAATTAGTAACCCAATTACCTCACCACTAGGTGTCACTTTCCCCCCATATAATCCTCCATGGAATCCGAACTCTCCAGGTCACTCCTATAAATGTCCAAACCTTACAAACAGACCAGTCAGACTGGAAGTCCGGTTAGACCACCCTGAAGAACAGCTTTGAGAGACTTGTAAACCATCTTTAAGCCAACTTGTCTGAGGCATGTCTGACTGTGACTGGAAAAATCATTGTTTCTGGTTAGTTATAGATAGATCTGGTAGTTAGGCAAATCATAATATTATTTGTAAATGAAATATGTTTAACAAGTAAAATGTCCATATTTCTCTATAGGCTATTTATGTATGGTAAACAAAACTCTTTGGTCTTGACATTCATTTACACAGTAGGCCTATAGACGGGATCGTTATAATAATTTTAATTATTTTCTAAACTAGCTACTTTAAATTCAAGCAGATACACGTAATATTCCAATATCAAAATCTAATACAGATAGAAATATAGGCATTTAAGCAAAATAGGTTAAAATTAACAGTACCCCACTAGCAGCAGCAGCGTCCTCATGAATATGCATCGACTGGATGAATATTCATGAGCTGAACAGGTGCGGATCCGTGCACGTTTAAAGGTGTGAACGGATTATTATATTTTTTTACTAGTTCCTCGTGCAATATTATAACATCAGTTGGCAGCTCGTTTTGCGACAATGAATGTAGCTGACCCGGGTTGGACAAAGTAGGAGTCCTTTTAAAATGACTTTTAATGAAACATTATTCCAGTTAAACCAGACGGGGAAGAAACGGCAGCTAACCTGTTCTTAGTGGTATCTTGAGGATTTTGCCTTCCTAAGAGCGTACGAGCAGTGTTCCTGTATTCCTGGGATGAGATGAGGCCCTGTCATGGCAAACTTTTCTTCCTCGCGGGTTTTGTACTATGTGTGTTGATGTTAACCTCCTGGCACACGTCAAAATCAGGTTAGTGTCATCATCTTATAATGTTCCTGTGTGGATGGCCTCTAAATTATTCGGATTAGATATTAGTCATTTAATCTTTAAATTAACACTTTTTTTTTCTTTTTCTTTTTTTACTATATGTTTGTCAATTTCTCTGAATTGACAGTCTGATTGAGGTGTAAATCAATGCCAATTATAAGTAATTGATACTTTTTGAGAGACGGAAACCTTAATTGTCATAGATAGATACGTCAACTTTGAAAGTTGTAAACAGAAATATAGCCTATACATTTATTTAAAATTATGATATTTTATATTTATATTTTAATTTATTTGTGGAGTGAGGGTAAAAAAAAAGAAAGAAAGAGAGAAGCAATCTTGGGCTTTTTAATAGAGAGATCCAATCCTGCTCGTTTTAAAGAACCCATGAGCTAGATGTTACATTAGCCTATAAGTTTGAATCGAAACTGTGCGGGAAGATGATCACCCCTGGTTTAGAGCTATAACCAGACACCACAACTGAAATAGCTTTTACTAATAGCTCTAGTAAGATACACTTGTTGCCAAATGATGAGGACGTGGTGGAATGAACGTCAGCGTCCCGTTCCCGTTCGCCAGACACACCCGCATTGCAGGAATTTCTTGTAAGTTGTCCAGCCCTTTCCAAGATGGAAAAATATTTTGAAAAATGTGATTTTGAAAGTAAGATTCTAAACACTCAATTAGACAAATAATGTGTTTAACACGTTAATAAATTGCATTGTGACATCGTGTATGTGTCAATGTGTGTGTATACACTGCCCGACCAAAAAAAAAAAAAGTCGCTGTTTGGATTTAAGTCTATGACCGGATCATTATTGGTGTGAGGATTATTATGTTTCTAGCATGTTTGGGGACAGTTATTTTAACCCTAAAGCCCCGTTCACACTACAAGCGACTTTGTCGCTGCATGTCGCCAGTGGCTGGCGATGAGGTCGCTAGTGGGAGTTCCCACTACTGGTTGCCTTTATGAATGACATCCAATGATGTGGAGAAGGATCATACGCGCTCCGCTCCTATTGGTTGTCGCTCCCGAAAGTCGCTCCCCATTTGCATAAAGTTAAACCGATCTCAACTTTGTCGCGTCGCCAGACACGCCCCATCCGGTCGCCAACGGTCGCTGTCGCGCGTGTCGCCGGAAGTCGCCCACTCACCATTGAAATGAATGGTATCGCGTCGCTTGGTCACGTGTAGTGAACGGGGTTTGAACGGGGCTTAAATGATGGTGTTTGTAGCTTTTCATTTACCCAAATGTCAAAAAATGTACTCGAATCAAAGAACAGCATTTATGAAGCTCCATTCTTACAGATCATTAACTAAAAAAAGTTGTTTCAGTGTTTAGTTACCCTTTAAAGGGTAGTTCACCCCAAAATGAAAATGATACCATGATTTACTCACTCAAGTCATCCTTGATGTATATGACTTTCTTCTTTCAGCCAAACATAATCAGAGTTATATTAAAAAATATATCCTGGCTTTTCCAAGCTTTCTAATGGGAGTAGGCCTATATAGTACCTGAGATTTTGTAGCCCAAAAAATCCATCATAAAAGTAATCCATACGGCTCCAGGGGGTTAATAAAGGCCTTCTGAAGCGAAGCAATACATTTTTGTAAGAAAAATATACATAGCCTATTTATAACTTTATAATCCTGCTTTCGGTAACGGCCGTACGCGAGTCTAGTTCCGGTGGATGAGTGAACTCAGAGAATCTCTATATATAGTGATCTAATTATGTCGGAACGGACTTGTAACGTAATTGACTAGCCCTGATCAAATCGTATGTGTATTCACAATGCACATATATCAAATCATATATATTGAAATGCCAAACAACAACCACAACAACAAAGTGCAGCAAAGCAAAGAGGAATTTCTGGAGCTCATTAACAGAGATGGGTATTTCTACCATCTGTAACAGCAGTTATTCAAAACTGCAGACTTCCTTAAAAGATAAAGTTATATGGCATAGTTTTTGTTTGTTTTTTGTCTGCAGAAAGCCAAAGGAAGCATGCTGCTTGGGGTGTCTGTAGGCAGAACTTAAACATGATGTTTGATATAAATTGTATATTATGGGCCTCCATCATATGCACAGGTTTTTTTTTGGTCACATTTATTTCTATTATAATGTCCTTTATGTACCATGATCCCCCCCATATTTTTAGGAACTAATTATTTTCTGTGAATTCAACATTGTGAATTCAACAAATGCTGTTGATAAAGCAAGCTTAACTTAACTGTCACCTGCCCGTATACGGGCAACCTAAATTTACTTCACTATATTACTATTAAATCCTTATCTAGTCATGACAAACTATATATCGTTGGAAAGGTCTAAGACTCCTTAATAGATATTTTAGCGCTGTTTTTTTCTTACAAATTATATATGAATAGTAATATATGAATTTATGACAAGAGTGCGCCTCAAAAAATCTACGTCATTACAGGAGTTTCTGACCTTTGTCACAAAAAGTTGACGCACACACTTTTAATAATTGAAACTTGGTTTTTAATGCTAAAAGTTCATAATAAAACATAATCTAGTATTTGTCAATAAAAAAAGATAAAATTATATTTTAAAAAGTAAAGTAAAAAGTCCTCTAAAAAGTATAATAATTATTATATATATATATTTTTTTTTAATTATTATTATATCACATATTTTAGTAGTTATCATAAATTAGGTATCATTTGAAAGCCTACGAACTCAGAATTCATCCTGTGAAAACCGTTTTGAAATTGGACGTTGCGTTACCATAGAAACAGTATTTTTTTTATTAGGCCCCTCCCCTTTTGGGCATCATCTTTCAAAATTTATTATCAAAAATGTTCTAATCTTGACAAAACACATATTGTCAGAAAGGTCTGAGTCTCAAGGTTCCATATTTAGTGACAGAAGTGATATTTGGATAGAAATTTATTAATTTGTTATGGCAGAATGCATACAATTAAATTCAATGGAATGCAATGGAATGCAATGGCACCCGGTGGGTATTTTTGGTATTACGCCTAAACAAAATCTCATGGGAACTTCAATGTTTGTGATATCAACTTCAAATTTGGAACACAACTTGGTTAGATATATGGCTTTGACTTTCTGTCATTTTTAGGCTGAAACCTATATTAATTTATATATATTTTTAATAAAAGAAAAATAAATATTTTATTATATTTTCATAACAATAAACTTAAACTTCAATAACTTTTAAATAATTTAATTCTATTAATTTATTCCACTTCAGCAATAATCTGCCAAGAGTCTTCTTTTAAAAGAGACCAACCGCAAGTCTTTAGTACAAAGGCTTCATGAATTACAACCGTTTAAGTTTGGGTAGTGCATTTTCACATCAATTCTCAAAAAGGGGGGTGACAGCTAAAGGGTTAACTTGTTTTGGGCCCAACATCCCTTCAATTCACATCCAGAGATGATTGGTGTTCTATTCTCCAGAGAACTTGCCATTGCAGCTGCGTTTGGTCTATGCGAGGTTACTGCGGGCAGAACAGCGCGGGGAGGTCTTATCACAAGAGCTGCTTAATGTCCTGGGCCACCTACAAAACCGCAGCATTGCTCTATCTAATCTCACAATCAGCAACTCCTCAGGTGAGTCCAAGCACTTTTCCTTCTGTAATATTTGTGTCTGTTTGGTTATTCACTATTTTATCTGCCTTTCAGCTATATTAGAAAAGAGAGTCATTCCGCACGTGTTGCCTTCACAGCCTAATGCCCTCATCTACTTGCCTCATCTGAAAGAGCACAAGGACAGTCTGAAACCCATCGTTCACCTGGGGCAGCGACGCACTGGAGGTCTGTCTCCCATTATAGCTTTTTGCGATTGTATAATTGCAGTGCTTGCAATTTGCAATTGAATTAGATTTAAACAATGTCTTATGCCCGGTTTCACAGACGAGGCTTAAGCCTAGTCCCAGACTAAAATGCATGTTTGAGCTGTCTTAAAGGGATAGTTCACCCAAAAATGAAAATGATGTCATTTTGGTTACCCTTTGGTTACCCTTACCCATGATGACAGAATTTTCATTTTTGGGTGAGCTATCCCTTTAACTGAAATCAACTTGCACTGGGATATCTTAAAATATGTCAGTGCCATTGTTTTGTCTCAAGATGCACACCAGTAATGTTTATAAAAGCTACTTAAATATCCTTATTTAAATTTTTTATTGCTCTTTTGTACATCTTTTTAATGACCTATAGCTGCTGTTACGCTGCAGATGGTGTTTATGCATTTTTTAACTTCCTGATGCTTGTTTAGTGTTATGAAAGCAGCAAAGCATCTCTGTTGCAGCCTTTCATTTGTAATCAAAACCTAAGCTTGGCTGAAACTTGAACACTTTTTTTTCTGCCTAGCAAGCCCTACAAACCTAATGTCCTGTATTGTATTTAAAAAAAAAATTATTAAATTTTTTAACATGTGCTTTTATGTTTCTTTTGACTTTTTCAGTTATGTTGTTTCTAATGGTTTTAGAACACATACACAATAAATGTTTTATCACTGTAATGCATTCACCATAGGCTGACATAAGCTGACACAGTGTTTAACTGTTTTTGCAGTGTCTCTGGTGTTAGGAGTGCCCACCGTGTACAGGCAGAAACAGAGTTATCTAGTGAACACACTCCAATCTCTCCTATATGACCTTTCAACTGCAGAGAGGAAAGATATTGTCATTGTAGTCTTGGTTGCCGAGGTAACCCTTGACATTTGCTCTTTGTACTCTTATATCTCTCCTAGCTTTATCTGTTTTATTGCTCTGGTAAGGCTGCATTCAACTTTATGGTATTACATTATCTCATTCCTCTTAACCTCTCTGTTTCATTTGGTTTTATGTTGTTTTTCTGTTTTCTGTTTTGACAAACATTATATATGGGTTTTTGAGCTGTGAATGAAGAAGACCCCAAAGATAGTTCTTTGGCCGTTAGCTTTGAGGCTATCTATATGCTAGTAAATTTCTTAATTGACAGTATTGCTCTTTTCGGAAAAGATTTGATCAAATCTTGCACTGTTTCCAAATTTCTGTCCAATCTCTTGCTCTCTAGAAGGAGAATACCCCTACCAAAATACCACCTGCCCCTGACTACCAATAGCACGTAGGAAACCATGGTTCACATAAATGAATGGCTATTGGCCAAAAAAAAAGAGGAATGGGGTCTTTGGCCTTACTTTCTGCTCCAATAGAGATGAATCCTATATGATTTTGTAACCAAGCATTTTGGTGATGTATACATCAGCAAAATTGTTTACAAAAAAAGTTATAAAAGTCAGACTTGGCTGAGCTGAACTAATGAGAATTTGTTGGCACAATTAATAATAAATGTTGTAGCTGTGCTAAAAATTTGTTAAATGTGCTACATAACATTTTCTGCTTAATTTTCTTTTTCTTATATCTAATCTCTTCTCCTTTTTGGTGCACTTTTTACTTGTTTATTAAATATGTTAATTGGTTTGTTGAATCTTTATTTTAGATTTTATTTTAAACTTTAGAATTAGAATTATTAGAATTAGAATTAGTACACATAATAATTATTTACAATACACTAGCATTCAGTAAATTTTGTAAGAAGTCTCTTCTGTTCACCAAGGCTGCATTTGTTTGATAAGAAATACAGTAAAACATTGAAATATTTGTACAATTTAAAATAAGTCATTTCTATTTTCAAATATTTAAAAATGCAATTTATTCCTGTGATGCAAAGCTGAATTTTTCAGCATCATTGCTCCAGTGTCACATGATCCTTCAGAAATCATTCTAATGATGACTTTGTGCTCAAGAAGCATTTCTTATTATTATCAATGTTGAAAGCAGTTGTGCTGTTTAATATTTTGTTTGTTTTTTGATGAATAGAAAGTTAAAAAGGACAACATTTATTTGAAATAGAAATCTTTTGTAACATTATAAATGTCTTTACTGTTACTTTTTGATCAGTTTCATGCATTCGTATAATTTCTTTCGAATGGTACTATTTTATTGTTCTTTTCATTGATATGTATTTTCATTCTTCTCTTAGACAAATGCAACTTTTGTGAATGCTGTTGTACAGAGTGTACAGACCAAGTGAGTGTTTCATTATCAACTCATGTGTTCCATATGAAATGTTTCATCTTTCTGTAAGCTGGCTGTGCAAGTAACTGATCACAATTTCACTCTGTGTAGTCTCCCAAATGCTGTCAGTTCTGGATTGATTGAGGTGATCTCTCCATCTCCTCACTTTTACCCAGACTTCAGTAAACTGAAGGAAACTTTTGGAGACCCTAAGGAGCGAGTCAGGTTAGAGATTCGCTTGTGCTGTTGTGCAAATACTGTAGGTAATTGGAAATAGATAGTTTATTAATGTGATCCGTTTGTTTTATTGGTCACAGATGGAGGACCAAGCAGAACCTTGACTACAGTTTCCTCATGCTGTATGCGCAGTTTAAGGGCACTTACTATCTCCAGGTAATGCCAAGACAACGCCATACAACTCATTGTTGATAGCTCTATGTTTCATTGTTTTTATAATCAGTCTGTATTTTTGCATATGTGTTTCAGCTAGAAGATGATATTGTAGCAAAGCAAGGATTCTTTGAGTCCATGAAAAAATACATAGAACTGGTGCTTTTCGAGGAGTGGCTTTTCCTGGAGTTTTCCCAGCTGGGATTTATTGGTCAGTGTGTTGTCCTCTCCGTTAATTAATGTCCTATCCTGTTCTCTTCTCTCCCACCATTTCTGTTTGTTCAGTTATTTCATTCATGCACCGTTTTGTTATTTGAACATAACAGTCAGTGTCAGTTCCAGAAGTGGAAAGGAAATATAAGCCCTCTTGGTTTTAAAACAAACACATCTATTGCTAGAATTTGCTTATGGACGTATTTGCACTTAAAAGAACAATTCAGTTCACATGCTCTCAATTATTTAAATAGTTTCTTAAATCAACCAAGGGTGCGTTTCCCAAAAGCATCGTTAGCCAACTTTGGTCGCAAGTTCCATTGAACTCTATTGGGCTTTGTTTGTAGTTGGCTTTGGGAAACGTACCCCAGGTTTATTCATATTTGAAGGAACATTGTTAGTGTCTCAGCTTCATGTATACTATTTACTATGACCAAATCTGTGATGCTATGTGTGTCCTAGCATGAATTTAAGCATATCGCTGATTTTTCATGTTCTAGGCAAGCTTTTTCGCTCATCAGATCTGCCAATGATTGTGGAGTTCATCCTGATGTTCCACAAAGACAAGCCGATCGATTGGCTGCTTGATCACATCCTGTGGGTTAAACTGTGTAACCCAGAGAAAGACTCAGTAAGTTTGGGTATAATTTTGTTTGTTTTTCAGTGAGATTGATGTAAGGCATATCATTGTTTATCATTATAATTCTTTGCACTTAGAAACACTGCAGTGATGAGAAGGCCCGACTGAAGAGAGCTTACAAGCCCTCCTTGTTTCAGCATGTTGGTTTGCATTCCTCGCTGCCCGGTAAAATACAAAACCTAAAGGTAATTTAAATGTCCACTTCCTTGTATGAAGCTGTTCATATGTGTATACTGTATATGCTAGGGTTTAGTTTCAGTAAATTAAAACTAAAACTTAAACCATAAAAAAACATTTTTGCTAAAATAAAAATAAAATAAAAAATACAATCAATGAAAAAAACGTATTTTATTTAAGCTAGTTGCCAAGTAAATAGAAAATATAAATAAAAAAACAAATTAGAAATAGTATTAAAAACTATAGTAGCATAATATAAGAAGCATTACCTGTAGAATAGTGGCTACCTACTAAACCATCCAACAGTAGTATAGGTCTGTAGGCTTAGACAACAGCTTATCTACATTGCAAACATGACATTTACATAATTTATATTGGCACGTTTTTCCATAGTGACTTACAAATTCGGAATAACACAACTCAAGTGATTCATCTTAAAGGTGAAGTGTGTTTTTTCTGCTGTGCCAATGCATTATGATGGTTTTTATTATTTTTCATCATTTGTTTTGTTATCTATTTTGGGAAGTCACCCAACAAATGGGTTACATGTAGGCAAGGCAAGGCAAGGCAAGGCAAGGCAAGGCAAGGCAAGGCAAGGCAAGTTTATTTATATAGCACATTTCATACACAATGGTAATTCAAGGTGCTTTACATAGAAAAATCAAAAGAAATAGGAATAATTAAAACAGTTAAGAATAAAGAGATTAAAATAATCAAAAGAAATAAGAATAATTAAAACAGTTTAGAATAAAAAATTAAATAAAATACAGTACAAACAGTCGGACACAGTGGCACAGTGCTCATTCAGTAAATGCATAGCTAAACAGATGTGTTTTGAGTCTGGATTTGAATGTGACTACTGTAGGAGCACATCTGATCTCCTCTGGAAGCTGGTTCCAGCTGCGGCTGGCATAGTAGCTAAAAGCAGACTCTCCTTGCTTAGAGTGAACCCTTGGTATTTCTAGCTGATGTGATCCTAATGATCTGAGTGATCTGTTGGGTTTATATTCAGTGAGCATATCTGCAATGTATTTAGGTCCTAGGCCATTAAATGATTTATATACCAGTAATAATACTTTAAAATCAATCCTAAATGTAACTGGGAGCCAGTGTAAAGACCTGAGGACTGGTGTGATGTGTTCATATTTTCTAGTTCTGCTCAGGAGCCTGGCAGCAGCGTTCTGTATGAGCTGCAACTGTCTTATGGTCTTTTTAGGAAGGCCAGTGAGGAGTCCATTACAGTAATCCACCCTGCTGGTGATGAAAGCATGCACAAGTTTCTCTAAGTCTTGATTGGAAACAAAGCATCTAATTCTTGCAATATTTTTCAGATGATAGTATGCTGATTTAGTTATTGATTTGACATGACTACTGAAACTAAGGTCTGACTCTAGAGACACACCAAGATTCCTGACTTGATTTTTAGTTGTTAGACCCCTAGAGTGCATTCACCTTGAGAACTTCATCTTTGTTTCCAAACGCAATGACTTCAGTTTTGTCTTTGTTTAACTGAAGAAAGTTTTGGCACATCCAACTGTTTACTTCATCAATGCATTGGCACAGGGAGTCAATGGGGCTGTAATCGTTAGGCGATAGGGATAAGTAGAGCTGTGTGTCGTCTGCATAGCTGTGGTAAGAGATTTTGTTCTTTCTCATTATTTGGCTCATTGGGAGCATATACAGGTTGAATAGGAGTGGTGCAAGAATTGAGCCTTGAGGGACTCCACATGTCATGGATGTCCACTCAGACTTATGGTCTCCTATACTCACATAATAACCTCTCCCTTCTAAGTATGACCTGAACCATTTCAGGACTATCCCAGAAAGCCCCACCCAGTTTTCCAGCCTGTCAAGAAGTATGTTGTGATCGACAGTGTCAAATGCAGCGCTGATGTAGTTCTCTATGGAAAATAAATTGGGGTAGGAGGAAGCATTTTAACCAGACGTCTTCAAGCCTTCTCCTGAGCTGTGTTCAAAATCGACCCCATACCCTCATTCACCATCCCCTACATTAGTCCAGTAATATAGTCGCTTGAAGGAGTGAATGAAACCGAGTGAGCGAACTCAGACACTGAGTGTGCTGGAAGGGCTTTTGCATAGTTTGTGCTTTCTGTTGAATAATCATTTTAAACTTAGCAAACTAGCAGCTCCAGTAGTAATGAAAACATTTATTCCGTGGGGGCAGTCGTGGACTAATGGTTAGAGAGTCAGACTGTTAACCTGATTGAATGAGTGCACTCGATAATGCCTACTGTGGTTTACGACATCACTACAAATGACTGTCCCTTCAAATTGTGCTCTATTTAAGGGTATAGGGGGTGATTTTGATCCATTGTCTTACAAAGTTTATATCAAATCTGCTTCAGCTCATCTGCATGTGATTTTCAAACCATCCTGAAAAGCTTGATTAACTGGTTCAGGTGTGTTTGTTTAGGACACTTAGGACAATGGGTCCCCTTGAACAAGATTGGAGACTGCTGATTATAACGTCAAAAAGAATTACACACTTCACCTTTAAAGAGACTGTACCATTAAAGGTGCAGCAATACAACGTTTTAAACATGTCCAGAAAAGATGGGAAACTCAGTCAAAAATGAATTACTAGCTTGTACTGTGTGCTTCACATGATGCCTATTGAGAGAGCGTTCTAAATCACTCACTAATTCGATTACATTTCAGTTAGGATGCTGCCTTAGAAGGCAGCTGCTTGTGTTGACAATATACAGCAAGGAAACTCGCTAGGTTTTGGATCAGAGCTTATGTGTTTGTCTGTATTTATGTGTCATATGCAGGATAAAAATTTTGGGAATCAGGTGCTGTATAAAGGCCACAATAATAACCCATCTGCAGAAATCAGCAGCAGTCTGGAGAAATATCAGTCTCACTCTCTGGAGAGAGCTTACAACGGAGAGGACTTCTTCTGGGGCCTCACACCCAAAAGAGGAGATTATATTCTCTTCACTTTTTCCACACCTCAAGCTGTCAAAGGGTGAGACACCAGCAAATGACATTTATGTGATGAGTATACATAAGTTTAAACTGGTACAGTCAATCTTGCTAAAGTTCTAGTTTGTCTTACAGGTACATTTCTGGGTAGACTATCCCTTCATCTGTGTGCATTGTAAATATCTCTTTATTTGGATGTATTTAGAAGTAAAAGCCCAGCAGCAGTGTAAATGTACCCAGCTGTCTGCTCGAGTGCTTTTATATTTAAGTACGTTTGCCCTGCTGAAAAAATGTGAACCAGTGGCTTCAGTATAATCTCCTTTTGAGCACGAAATTCTATATAGCCCATGTTTGTTCAGGAGCTGAATACACTGTGACAGCAATCTTTTTAAATCCCCCTTAAGCACACACAAAAGAGTTTTAGGAAGCTCTAAAATGGCATCAAGTTAGGATCTAAAATTTAGTTGCTTTTTGGCGATGGCCTTGTAAAGAAATCTGAACTTTCTCAGTACCAGAGAAATTGTAAGTAATGGGTGCATCTGTCACTTGACAAAGAGTGCCGTAATGAGCCCAGGGAAATTCCTGGCTGTTTAAACGAATACAAAAGACAGAGAAACAATGGATTGTTTTAATTTGTACACATAACTTGACTACACATAACCTCCTAAACCAGTCATCAGTGAAGTTTAAAGGTATCTTCCGGGTTAAATACAAGCTCAAACTTTTAACTCTAACAACAGCATCTGTGGAAGGAGAAACATTTCGACTCCGAAAACAAAAACACAGTGTAACACAAATGGACTTACAATGAAACTTCCATTGACTGATTTAACTTGTGTATATATATTTTCCACTTACTTCCAGGTACCTTTTTCGATCTGGCAATATTGAGACAAATGGTGACCGGTTTTACAACACAACAGTGGAGGTGCTCCCTACTAATGTAAGTATCATGCCAACACTTTTTCTTGTCAAAGTAACACTCAAAAGATCTGCTTTCAGCAAATAGAGCTGAAAGTGTTGGGTTCTGGAAGAAAAACTAACTTAAACAACAACAACAACAACAAAATTTCTTACGCTCACCAAGGTGGCATTTATATGATCAAAATGCAGTAAGAACAGTAATATTGTGAAATATTATTAAACATTATTAACATTGTACATGACATAATTGAGTCTTCCTACAATAGTTTTACATTGTGTTGTTTTATTTGATTACATTATTTACTGTGATTCATGGGACTGTAGTTAATTTTCTCATAAAAGATGTTAAGCATACAGTTTTATTATTATACTTTTTTTTTTTTTTTTGCCGTTCATCTGGCTGGTTGGTTTGCTTCCTGAGTATTTATTGAAAAGTTTTTTGAAATCCCTCAATTTCTTTGAAATCCCTTGCCAGAACTAATTCCTCAGAAAAATGGGCGGTTTTCAGTTTGTGTTTAGTCTCTGTTGTTTGTGTTTAGTCTCTGTTGTTTGTGTAAGATATGTAGGTATTGTCATACAGTAGCTTTAGACGTTGCATTGTACATTGGGACGTATGTGACTAGTACTACACCCTTTATCTCTCTGTACATTTGTCTTCATTTGCTTGCAGTGATAATGCCTTGCTCATTTTCTTGTTAGTCATCCATCTAAACCAACAGAAAGCTGACACCCATAACCAAATTTGTAGCTTTGCATCACTCAAACTTTATCTCAAACCTGCTAGACTAGGATTTTAGGACATACTTCCTGATATGTTACGGACATCCTTTTTTTATTCATTTGCACCCAAGTACAAAGTGCTGAAAAGTGCATGTCTGTCTGTTTTACAGAACTCTGTGAAAGAGAAGGTGGAGAGAGGAGAATTATCCTGCTGTAAACCCTCACCCGATGGCTTTGTCGAGATAGGTACACAACCATTATTGATTTCCTGTTTCTTTCTTTTCTTTTCTTTTCTTTTCTTTTTTTTCTGTCCCTCAATTGTAAAAGTTTGCATAAATTCAAGCAGTTCACTCATTTGTTAAAGTAATTTACCAAGTAATAAAAAAAAAGTGATGATACTAGTCAGATATGAGTATCATCAAGCTAGCTGTGATGATAATTATGATTATTACAGGAAACTCCTGAAAGATTTGGCCCAGCAAGTGAAGTCTGTAGGTATCAAGAACCGGTTCTTATTCAGAACTGGTTCAGTTGGTTTGTTTGTTTTCTTCCTTTTTTCGTAATAGTGCTGAATGATTTTTATGACGTCCTGTTTCATTAACAGTTCTTGAACGTCTGCATTATTTCTCCTAGTGCACTGAGCTCTGGAACTGAGTGTACTGAACACTGTAAAAAAAAAACCCTGTTAAATTTACAGGAAAACCCTGGCAGCTGTGGTTACCAGAGTTTTCCTGTTAAAAATACGGTAGCAACGTTTTGGGTTTTACAACTTTAAACCGTATATAATTTTACAGCGATAAACCGTATTTCATTATCTGATATAATGTTAATATACTGACCTTTTGGAAGTATTAATATCTGTTTTTTCCATTGTAATACACTGACAGTCAACAATCACAGCAGTGATGAGAGTCAAATGGTCAACCAAAGCTCATCATAAGCAACTCTTCCACAAGAGAGTTAATACTAATATACAGAAGCTGCACAGTTTCATTCACACAAACATTAAACACCATCATGGTAACATGTTGAAATTTAAAAAATGCAATAAGCATTAATTTAACAACATTAAATGTAACATAAAACCCTAATGTACATAACTGATTAGAAAAAAACTAAGAAAATTATGAAGAAACAGTGATTTAAAAACAAAATACATCAAATGTGAAGTGTCACGCAGGGAATTGTGGGAATGTCAATTTACATTTTTTTCACTGTAAATTATACAATGACTTGTTCTTTTTCACTTCCAAAAACTGTAAATTTAACGGTATTTTACAGTAAAGTTAAATTAAATGTACCATTATATATATCACAGTTATTTACCGTTTATAGTAAGGAAACTTTCTGTTAACTAATTAACAGTTTTTCACTGTAGCATTTTTACAGTGTTTTACCGTTAAAATCACGATAATTTTTTACAGTGAAGCTATGACAGTGTATTTCCTGAATCTATCGGAATCTATATTTATTCAGCAAGGATGCATTAAATTGATCAAAAATGACGGTTAAACTTTTATAATATTAAAAATAGCTTTTTATTTCAAATAAATGCTGAACTTTCGATTAATCAAAGAACCCTAGTATTGCTGTTTCCAAAAAGAATATTTAGCAGCACAAATAATTTCAACCATGAGAATAAGAGATGCTTCTTGAGCAGCAAATCAGCAGATTAGAATGATTTGTGAAGGATCATGTGACACTGAAGACAGGAGTAATGATGCTGAAAATTCAGAATTGCCATCACAGGAATAAATTACATTTTAAAATGTATTCAAATAGAAAACACTTTTTTTAATTATATTTCACAATATAAAAAAAAAATTTCTGTATATTTGCATCCTTGGTGACCATAAAGAGACAACATTCAGAAACATTCAGAAATCTTACCGACCCCAAACTTTTTAACAGTATAGTGTACATGTACTTGAAGCTTGTGAGACTTAAATTGGTCAATATTTTTGTTCTCTAAAAGACTGTATAGGATTATTAATGGAAGCATCAAGTATCTGGAATTTAAATTTTATTACATTTATTAAGAACCAGCTAGATTTCTTGATTTACTACTGAAATATTGGTTTCATGACAACAGGGGTTATTGGTTTGTGGATCAAATTTAACGATGTAACAGCCATGACATTGTATTTTACGACTGTTAATGATCAAACAAGGTTATCAGACACTATTGGTTAATAACTGGTCGGAAACATGAGCGAGTATGAATGTGCATGTCTGTAATACACACACCCACTTCGATTCCATCCCTCTGGACAAACCACAATAAGAAATGTGAGAACAAAAACTGGTTATGTAAAAATGTGAGGCCAATGTCTGGGATCAAGCGCTTTTCATGCAATGTAAATTGAAAGAGGCAGCGGTTTCCGTGTACTTTGTGATGAGATGTTAACAATGTTTGTGTTTGTAGATTCTTTCAAGAATGGAGTGGCCGAGGGAGAAGTGAATGGAGCTTTAGCAGAAATAGCGGCCATGAGACTCCTGGTTCACTCTGATTCTGATGTCTGGGTTCTTCTCAGTGAGGTGAACCACATTCGTATCATCTATAACCTTTAGAAACATGCCTCACTAATTTGGGAAGGGCTTGAGAGAACGGTCACTTAATTCAGAGAAAGGCATGCTCACATGTGTATTGCGTAACTCTATTACACCGAAATGCAGACCCAACCCAATTTTGTTGACATTTCACCAGGGAAATACACAATGGAAATACACAATGGCTTGTTAGGACATATATGTATGTAAGGTTTTTGTACCTTACAGTAAAATCAAATGAAAGTAAGGAAGGTCACAAATCATCTGTGTGACAAACAAATCCAGTCAAGTACTCGTAGGGCTTGTCAGGGCGGTTTATTGGGTCTTTCATTCAAATGTAATGCTAAGCTAGGTTAGCATTCTCCAACTCATCACTTCAAAAGACTAGAAAAGTGGAAAATTATATCTTAAAATTTCATATCATTAGAAACTAAGGACTCTTAATATGGTATCTTTCAGTAGATTATCATTATCATTATCACTTTGGCAGAAATGGCCACAATTGTGGATTCGCTCCTCCCAAAATTATGTTTAGGAACTTCACTTCATGCTCGATTTTGCTAATTCCCTTTAGAATTTTGACATATTTCTTTCAATATTCTTTCATTTTTTGCCTTTGTATAACCACAAAAGCTTGAATTAAGTCAAATTGTCCTCATGCTAAATTTGCATTATACCCCTGGTTTTACAGACAAGTTTCAAGTCTAGTCCCAGACTAAAATGCATGTTTGAGCTCTTTTAACTGAAAGCAACTTGCACTGAGATATCTTAAAATATGTCAGTGCCATTGTTTTGTCTCAAGATGCACACCCCAGTTATGTTTCTTTCTAAGACACGTTTATGAAAGCTACTTAAATGTCCTTTTTGAACTAAGGCCTAATACTGGCTTAATCTAAGCCCTGTCTGTGAAACCAGGCCTTTATCGGTTAATAAAACATTTTTTTTAATTAAATTTGTTAACAACAAAGGTGCAACTAAACCCTCAAATGCATGAATGTTTCGCCAATCATTATTACATATTCGGGTCTTTAGCGACCCGGATCTATATCTAACATGGATCAATCTTTACCTGTCGCTATAATATAAAACTATATATCAAATATAAAAGCTCGGAAAGGTTCAGTTTGACCAGATGTTTTATACCATCATCACTGTCCTCATCGGAGCTCATTTCCCAGTACATTCAGCATCTGGCTCATATTCGCAATCTCAAACATATAGTCAAAACTATCATTTTCAACATCTTCAAAATCATTTTGATCGCTGACAGCTTCTTCACCAGATCCACCATGAAGGGACAGTGACACTAATATTTGATTGCGTTCAGTATTTGCTTTGCAGTAAATTACTGAGCCATTTCAAGTTTTGCTGATGATACTTAATATTCTTTTGTTTTCTGCCTGCGGTAATAATGAGTGAAACATCACTTTATCATGGTGTATCAGACATTGCCACTTTGTGGAATAAAGGTGAATTGCACTTATTCAGCCATCAAAGATTCAATTAATGTTGTGCAGAAAAACATATACTTACACTTGTCTAACTTTAAAAAATGAATGAGGAGGAGGGTAGTGAATGATGTCCTAGGTCACTAAAGACCCAAGGTATGCTTTTAAGGGTTAAATTGACAAATATATGTTGGTTTTTAGTTTGATATTTGCAGAGTTTCTTTTAACATCTCTGCACTTAAAATTAGCACGTGTGTAATTTAACCAAGAGTACAATATTTTCTCTAAAACAGAAAATGTATTTGTCTACTTTTTTAGTTAAGAGATCAACAACAATGAAACAATGACCATCTCTGTCATCAGTTCTCTGTACTCTGTAATTTGCATACGTTTTGCAAAATTCTTGCAAATTCATTCACAGTATAAATCATCACAGGTGGATTTAAATCATTCTAAAGATGATTTATTAGAAAATTCTCCATTTTAGTCACTATTATTCACCATTTTATTGACATTTTAGTTCTGTGTAACTTGTAGCAAGTCATTTAAATCTTGTCTTTAGATAAAAGCCTTTTTGAGAAAGTCTCTGGCAGTTACAATAGCCTTGTTTTCAGCTGTGACACAGTATCTAAGGTTTGCTTAAAAGTCACGTCTCTCTCTCTTTGACAGATCTTTATTAAAGTTTGATGAGTTGAGGAGAGAGGAGAAATGTGAGCCGCATGGTAACGTGTAATACCCCCTGTGCCGTGGACCACAGCGCACGCTGCTGGTCGGGAAAGGAACCTCCCTATGCTTGAACGATTGTGATTGTGTGCCATCTTGAGGTCCAACGTAAATACTGAATTACAGGATGTTTCCCTCATCTATGTGAGCAAAGTTTTTACACTGTTGTTTGTTTATTGTGGTCTGTGGTTTTGTTTGTTTGATTTATTTTATTTCTGTCTAAATTATTTTAGTTTTTATATTCATTACTTTGTGATGCAAAAACAACTTGAAGAGACCACACAACACAAGGTATCTGACCATATTTTATATTCTATTGAATTTAAATTGTCAATAAATGGCAGTAACAACAACCGTTTTCAACTTTTAATTTCAGCTTTTCTGCTGATATAATATTCTTGCTTATTTCATTTTTTATTTCCACCTCACCTGCATCAAGTGGAATTGCAAAAATAAGAAAATAATTATTTTTTTAAATTCCCCATCTTCCATTGGTCAGTTAAGCATAGTCCTGTATCAGACTAATTGGGTGATTGATTGCACTAACAGTGTTATTTTAATTTTATTGTAGTTTTATCAATATTTTGAATTAGCTTTAATTTGTATATTTTTAGTTTTCAATTTTAGTTAAATTTTTGTGCTTTTGTAATTTTCTTTACAAATTTTCTGTATTTTTTCCCCCTGCTATTTAGGTTTAATATTTTATTTTTGTGCTTCAGCTTAAACTTGTTTCAGTTTATTGCCAAGGCAACATTTCTAATTTGTTAAGTTTAAGTTTTTGCAAATCATATTTATATATCATTTCAGATAACAGAAATTAATCAAACTGGGAAACTGAAATATACAGTTTTCAGTTTTAATCTTGGTCTTGCTGTAGGTTATCATTCCAACATATTGGTTACTGCATAGTTAAACACTAGACTGTTTGTCCTTCCGAACACCTTTGGTGACCCTGTGAAAGATGAAGACACACATTCAGATGCATATTCACGATTGAGAGCAAGGGTGAAGGAGAGGAAGGCGTGTGGATAATAATGCTACTCTATGAGACTCAGTTCCTCACTCCTCTGATGAGAGCAGATGGGTACCAGAGACTATAGTCCTCCAAACTCTGGTGGAATATGTGTAGACTTGAATCCCAGATGAAGTGAGGTGACTGAACGAGAAGCAAACAACCACAGGGGCCTACAGAACCTAAACAGAAGGACTCACTCACAGCACAGCAAATTATTATTATTATTTTTTAATTAAAACAGGCATTTGCAATGCCACACAATGGTAAGATTCTACACATACAAACACAACAAATGCATAAAGATATTCAGAGGAGGCACAGGTGTAATGCATGCCAGAGAACTCCCTTCTGTTGATAGCACCAAGAAAAGGGTCTAAATTTCATTCCCTGATCAGAATGACCTGAAATGTTTTCTCTCGACTTGAGTATAATCAGTGCTGATACAGAGAGAGCAACTGTCATGCCATCACAACTGCACTCTCAACTACAAAACAAAAGTGTGAAATACAAAATACATATTTTAAAAACAATTTAAAATATTACTAATTAATATCATACCCTGTCTGAACATAAAAAACTACAAAAAAACAACCTAACTAAAAAGGATTTTTAGCATGTTGAACAAAGCCATTGAAAATGAAATGTAAACAAACATTAATACTGATAAATAAAACAAATGTAAACATTTACCATTTTAGTGACATAGGGATAAAATTAGTCTAGTGGAAGGGTTTATCTGCGTGGGGTTGTGGGTCTGGGAGAGAGGGATGCTCTCTTACTTCCGTTTGCTTTTGGAGTCAGTGGTCTGAAACACGCTAGATGCCGACATGAGGTTCTCAATGTACTGCCCAAGAACCTGATTTTCTGATTTTAACTTCAGATTTTCTTCTTTTACTGCGTCCACCCGAGCTGAGAGATCTATCAAAACAAGAGAGAGAAAGACATAAAGCTTGTTATTTAATATAAGGTTGAAAAGTGCTAGCAACAAGCAAGTGGAGCTGGTTACTTGCCTTCAAGAGTATTCTGCAACTCAAGGACCTGGTTTATAAGTCTGGTCTTCTCCTCCAGTTCCACCTGGTTTTCTATGTCCCCTGGAAGACAAATTTAGAACTAAAGTCACCATCAAAATAAGTTCCCCTTCCTCTTGCAGCGACATTTCTTCACTTCTCTGATGACGTGTTTAATAGCGCTATGGCGAAACAACCTGTCACTCACATGACATCACAGCAATAGCAAACTACAACCATACAATCAATTCCCGATGGACAAAATCAAGTCCTGTCCTAGATTTTTTCTTGTTAGAAAAGCTGTTTCATTCAGATATACGTCTGTTTCATGCCGACTTTAAATACCTTGCACCGAGAAAATCCTTAATGCTTATTATTAACAAAAAATGGAACTATTACAATTTAATGGAGAATTTTTAACAATATAATGCCCCTAATACTTTATACATGTATTGATTAGAATTTACATTTGAAAAAAAGATCATTTTTCATATTTTTTTCTGTTTATTGTCAACTGTTTCAATTTGACATTCATTTGATACCTTAATAAAATAAAGTATATGAAAAAAATTAACTCTTGACAATCTGTTGCTCTGTGTGATACTTTCTATAAAACAAAACAAACAAATGCCAAGATTTATCCACATTCCACATTGGATCTTACCATCCATGTCAGAATTCATGGCGAAATACTCGTCTTCTGTTTTGAAATGCAGGGCTGCGACTTGAGTGGACACTTCAGGATGAGCACAAGGCCTGATGGAAACTGTAAAAAAAATAATAATAATAATAATAGACCAGGAGTTTGAAAAGACATTCAATCATAGATATGGACGGTGTCTTATTCATTGATGCTGCAATGCTAGGCGCTACATATCTAAATAGCATGCATGCGCATTGTGTATGTCTATTTTATGTAACATAATAGTAGCCTATATATTTTTTATAGATGGCCCATGTCAAAATGCACAAAATAAAGTCCAAATTGGTTTTATATCATATTATAAAACTGCTGCTACTCAGTTTAGCTGCGGTTAGCTGACACACAGCTGATGAGGTAAACAAACCAAGACACTGCCCATTACAGTCCCCTCTGAAGCACAATTTATATCCTTCGCTTAAATATATACTCATCTAAATCTACAACATTAAAATAAATTATGTAAATTGTATCCAAACCTTTGAAATGTACAATTAGACCGGATGAAGAGGTGTCTCACTACCACAGCGATGTCTTCTGGAGTCTGACGTCATGGTATTAACCCTTTAGATTCCACAACAAAAATCTTTTATTATAAAGGTAATTATTTTCCTAAGCAAATGTTACATTAACTAATGCAAATAAAGATTCAACGAAAACTGTGGTCAATGACAATTTTTGTACTACATTGACACTCATTTATTTGTGTTATTTTATTATTATTGTGTGATGTTAATTCGTACAGTATTTTTACTGTATGCTCATGCTCGTTTTCTCGCAATAAAACAAACAAACAAACAAAATCGTTATGACTTCGTTAAACTAGTGTTCATTTCAAAGAATTGCTTCAAAACTGGTTGACTCGAAAACTGCTCGGACTGATTAAATATAAAAAGGGAACAAATCGTTCGGCCCAATTCTTCTAAGAAACGTTAAGAGCTGGTTACGCCTTACGGTGCGTTTTGAGGGAAGGATTTTCAAACACTGAAAATCCACGTGCAAACAATATCATCAAGCATTTACAAACGCGTTTCATCTGTTAAACTTGAGGGGGAAATTACTTAAAAATCACAGGCAAATAAGCAAGGTGCATTTCATGAGGTGTTGAAGGTATAAAATGTTGAGCTATTCATCCGAATCTTGAGTAACGTTTATCTCTAGTAAATGGAATATTACCTTTGACTCTTGGTTGCTGGTCATGATTTGTTTGAACACAAAATAAAATATTTTAAACTTACCAGCATTTTTTAAAATATTTTCTTTTGTGTTCAACAGAGGAAAGAAACTCATACAGGGTTGGAACAACATGAGGGTAAATGATGACGAAATGTTTTGAAAAAACATTTTTGGGTGAACTATTCCTTTAATTACAAGACCTAAAGCAATACTGTTATCATCACAACAAATATTTCACTTCTGAATTAAAAACAACACAAAAAAATACTTAAGAATGCATGAATAACACAATTGGTTATTAATAAGAAACAAGTTTTTTAAAAATGTCCATGTTCACAAATAATATTTCACAGCCTGTTATAAGTTACTTGACATAACAGAATAGTTGTTTGCATTTTTGGATTTGGAACAAAGGTGCTTGTTATGTTGCAATATATACTCTAATTGTGAATAATGAGTAAACAGTTTTTGAATAATAATAATAAATAAGAAAATCCACTTTGAGATATTGTCATTGCACTAGGTTAAGTGTGCTTTGTTTTGAGGTTTAGGGTTTGTGTACAAGTCAGAAAGTAATGAGATCATGTTTGGGGTAATTAAAGGAAGAAGCATGTGGTAAGATGCAAATAGAAAAATTAGAAATACAGAAAATGAATAGAAATATGAAGAAAAAGGTCTTTTGAGCGCTGCAGATTTGACTAGTTAAGGTCTAGTATTGTGTAAGATTCTCACGAACAGTGAATAACATTAACTGTTATACAGACATTGATGCTGCTTGAACTGCTCAGTATCGCTGAATGTCTGGTTGCACTGAGAGCAGTGGTGGGAGTTTTGCAGTGGTGGGAGTTTCACAGTTGCATCTCCAATGTGGATGTGCTGATGCCGTTTAAGGTATTCCACTCGACTGAATCGTTTCCCACACGCCCCGCACTCGTACGGCCTTTCACCCGTGTGGATGCGCTGGTGCCTCTCCAGGTTGCCGAGACGACTGAAGCTGCGGCCACACTGCGGGCACCTGTGGGGACGCTCACCTGTGTGAACAAGCTGATGGCGTTCGAGGGACCGCGAGTGCGTGAAGCGTTTGCCACAGAGTTCGCAGTAGTGCGGCTGCTCTCCCGCCTGCACACATTCGTGGTTCTTAAGGCTCCAGGCATGGCCGAACGCTCTCCCGCACACAGAGCACTGATAAGGCCGATCCTCGGCCGCAGGGCACGAGTGCTTCATGAGGTCAGACGTGGAGTTGAAGCCGCTGCCGCACCGTGCGCAGAAATGCAGCATGTCCCCGCTCTCTCCTCCCGACTCTTCTTCCTTGTTCGTAGGGGCTGATGTAGGGTCTGCCCTATGTGAGGAGGACGACATACCCTGCTGAGAGCTGCATAAACCGTCTAGTCCGATGAACGCCACACCTTCGGATCCACACGCCTCCTGAGACGGGCTACCCAGGCCGGACTCTGCCTCCTCGCGTTCACGCTCCGCTTTTAGGGCCGTCTCCAGTCCACTGAGCTCGTCTCCAACAGTCATCGTTTCCGCCGCTTGCCCCTCCCACACTTCAGCAGGGGTGGATTCAGGGCCAGTAGAGGCGGGGCCCATTTCTCCTGCAGACACAAATACTAATTTTAGTACATTTTATTTTGCACATTAAGGACCTAAGGATCTACATTTGATCTATTTAATACATCATTGCTGAACAAAAATATTCATTTCTTTAAAAAAAAAAAAACTTTAAAAAAAACTTACGACGCCATTTTTTTTAAAATAAAACCTTTTTGTGTGTGTGTGTGTGTGTGTGTGTGTGTGTGTGTGTGTGTGTGTGTGTATTTAATCACCCATCATGTTGTTCCAAACCTGTATGCTATTGTTTTTTTCCCCAACAGAACACAAATGAGGAACTTCTGAAGAATTTACACACTTTTCTATACAACAGCAATTCACGGTGCCCACGACTGTCAACTAGCTCCAAAAACCAAAAAACATGACAGCCATGGTCCCTATATACTGTTAATGTATAGAGAAAGAGTGTACATGTATATTGTAAGTGTAGTGTATTTTCTCCTTTTGTTTCACAAAATAAGCACACAGATTTAAAACGTAAAAATGGAGTAACCAATGACAGAATTGTGATCTTCAAGTAAACTATTCCTTCAACTGTTCATGCTCGCAATCACAAAAAAACAACAACAATAATAACCGTTTTCACAAGCAAAGCATTGGAGTGCTTACCGTGGGTGGGACTGGGGGAGGGAGGGCTGGTTTCACTGTGGTTCATCTGTAGAGCCTCTTGCAACAGCCTCAGGGAGTCTGATCTGTAGCCTTCCACCTTTATCCATCATCCCACAGAAGCAGAAAGAGCGAAAACGCAAGGTGTGAAATAAATTCCCTTTGCTCATTATAATGCATCTCTTTTAAAACTGATAATAAACACACATCTGAGGTGGGAGTAACCGTGTTACTTATGTGCTGTTATTTTAACATTTAAAATTGTTTTAGTGCAATGACGGCATTTTAGTTTGATTGGCAGGTAAGTGGGCGGTCCTGAAGAGGCTGTCATATGCTTTTCTGACAACCTCCGATAGTCCACTTGTGGTTTCAGCAACAAGATGATAAAATGCATGAACCCTATTTACACTAGTAATTAACATTGTCCAATTTTGTTCTGATCTATCTAGCAGTCTTTGCATATTTTGGGAATATGAATTACACATAAATAACATGATCTCAATCTAGAGGGAAAGACAGTGACATCAGCACTGGAAAAAGTGAATTTCAGTTTCTATAATTGTTGTCAACAATGATGGGTTATATCTTTGGACAGTTTTTGGACTTGAAAATATACTTTGATTGAAATTAGTTTGAGTTTGCAAAATGGGATTGTTCTCTTCAGATCCTTCTCTTGTCCGTAGCCCTCTGCATCTCCTCTCTCTCCTCCACTCCCTGCAGCTCATTCCTAACATTTGATTGGCTACTCACCTCCTCTTTAATGCCGGACACCTCCTTCCTCTCCCCAGTGACGCATATCCTCTCCTCCTCCTCCTCCTCCTCCCCACCTCCTTCAGTTGGCAGATGGACACGGAACACGTCCCTCCTCTCATCCCTCACTCCTCCAGTCCCCTCATCCCACGCATTAGCACTCCACTCCTTCCCTTGCTTGCCTCCTGAGAGAGAAAGATGGGAGGGGGAAGAGAGGAGAGAGGAGGACAGGAGGGGGAGGGAGGAATCCAAAAGAGGAGGAGAGGGAGGAGAAAGAAAGCTGAGAACTGCGGAGCAGGACGCCATTATGGTTTCTCTCTTAAAGCACGATAAAACAGTGAGTTGCCCAATGAATCCGAGTTGGCCAGTGCGCTTACTTTGGAGATCCGTTCTTCGCGCTTTGCGCACGGTGTCGTCAGCGCCAAGCAGACCAGACGCGCGCCGACTGGCCGCCCAGCCCATGCCATATTTGCGTTCGTTTCTCAATTTATTCTCTGTCAGCCTCAGTCTCAATTTCAGCGCTTCGTTCTCTTTTCTGTTAAGAGAGATTTCCACCAGGTAGTCGTTCACCGTGTCCTGGAAGAGTTTGGTGATCTCGCACACGGATGCGCGGACCAAACTGTCCATGACAGCGGTCAGATGTGCTTGAAAGGTCTTGACCGATTCCGCCATAGCTTTACTAGTGTTCAGTCGCACATATAATAAATAAAGTTGAGCCCAAAAAACTATCAACGAATCCCTGTTACGCCATATATCAGCACCAGTTATACTTCATGTTTTTAAACATCCGCTTTACAACAACAACAACACTTAATTTAAATGCGCATGTAGTTAAAATAATCCGACATCAACAGTGGCAACGGCTGTCACCCGTAACTTTGTACACAGCCAATGGAATGAACCCTGTTCCTCTTTCTTTAAGCCAGCGACCACACAAATCAAACCCTCAAAGATGAAATTCCACTCCAGATGACCGCACAAATATCGTGGTCGGCTAAAAAAGATCTGTGTTCATGTTTTACCGGTGTTTATGCGCTATCAGCGGGACAATTTCACCCAGTCGCGACCACCCCTCTCAACTCAAGAGGTTTTAATTCTCGCCTACAATTATTATTTCCGGATGTCGCGTTCTGCGCATGTACAGAGCTACCGTAATTACCCGAAAAAAATGGACCAACGAAGGGTCAAGGTATGGCTGGTTAGCTTTGGCAGCTATAGCCCCTGCTAGTAGTCTTTTTTCTACATTGAATAAACATATTGACAATTATGCATACAACATTAAAACACATAAAAGAGAAAAAACTGAAATACTGAAAATTGTCCCTTTTTTTGCAAAGCACTTTGATCTGCATTCCTAGTATAAAATATGCTATTAAAAATAAAGTTTATTATTATTAAAACAGATGTTTCAGCATTTGATAAAAATATAAACAATAAATAAAATTGATAAATAAAAAGTTATTTTAAACTTTTAATTATACCCAAAAAGAAAAGATGAGGAATGCAACGGATCTACACAGTGTCATACGGTGTTTTACGGTAGCGTAAGAAGTACTGGCATCGTGGTTACTTGTTGTATTCATCCAGAGCTCACATCTGGACACATTCCCGAAGGCGTTGGTCCTTCTACCTTGCACTATTTAGCAGTACGTGCTGCCTTCTCTCCGTTGCAGTCATGCCGATGTTTGTGGTGAACACAAATGTAGCAAAGGACTCGGTTCCTGCTGAGCTGCTGTCGGAGGCCACGCAAGAGCTCGCCAAAGCGATGGGCAAACCCGCGCAGGTGAGCAGACTGCATTTTTCTCGTTAAAAAACAAAACAAAAAACATATCGCATATGCATTGACTTTGTATATCAGTCTGCATGGAATGAGGGACTAAATACTGTTACGAGTCAACGAAACATAGACGAGACTCTGTTATCCTCTTAGCTGTAACTCATGTCATTGGATTAAAATTGTTTTAACCCTAAAGATATGTAGCCAGCCTATGTATCATTATTGATTGTTTAGATTAAAGCTAGTATAGTGATGGGTCAGACTCATTTCCTTAAATCATACTGTCGAACGTTTCAAAGAACCAGTTCAAACAACCCGATTCAGTGATTCTTTTACGTCATGACGCATCGCGTTACCTCAGTGACATCACATCATGAATCTAAAAAGTTCCAATAAATCCATTTGTTGGCACTTTTAGCTGTTTATCAAGATTTACTAATACGATCCCTCGTATTAAATTACTGTGTATTTCAGTTCAGTGTTTTGCTGCAACATTATAATAAACCAAATATGCATTTAAATCACATGATACTAAAAGTATTTCATTTTTTTCAAAAGAACTGAATTATTAACTGTTTAATCTTGTCTGTCTTCGTATTGATATGTGATAGTATATTGCCATACACATCATCCCAGATCAGATGATGATGTTCGGTGGAAAAGGAGATCCGTGCGCGCTCTGCTCCCTCACCAGCATTGGAAAGATTGGGGGTGTGCAAAATAAGCAATACTCCAAACTTCTTATGGGCTTGCTCAACAAACACCTTGGCATTTCACCTGACAGGTACCTGTAAATCCACACAATATAGCGGTCTCTCTTTTACCAGAAGAACATTCAACATAATGTTGTGCAAAAATAAAACTTTAGCTTCCAAACTTCAAATTAATTTTTGTTATATTCAATTCAATATATTCAATTTAATATCTGCTCTTCATATTGTGAATGATTAGTACATGTCAAATTTAGTGTAGTGTTTGTTTGTTTAATGAAACTATTGCTTTTCAGGATCTATATAAACTTCGTTGATATGGATGGAGCCAACGTGGCTTGGAACAGCACCACCTTCGGATAAAGAAAAGGGATGTATGGCTTGATATAAGGCTGCGGTTTCTACTCCAGCTTTACTTGGGAGAGGAGCAGTTGGGAGCATAATGTCTTTAGTCGATTTAGTCTTAACTTACAGCAGACACCATCTTTTGACAATAAAGTTCTCTTTAAACTGTATTGAGATGCTGTGTTTTTGTTATACATGCTTCTTGAAAGCACAAATGCTCAGGATGTCATAATGCTGATAAAGGCATTGTATAAGTTATGGTCCAGATAAAAATCTTTAAATACAATATATTTTTCTAAAACTAGGTCCAGATTGTGATTGACATTTCCTTCAGCCTGAGGCTTATTCATTTCACTTTTGGTGTGAAAGGGCCTTAACATTTGCTAAAAAAATAACTTATTAGTACTCATTAGTTCTGTTATTAGTATTAGTTACTAGTAATGTAATGCATTATTTTTTCATAAAAAGTAACTAGTTACTTTTTTAGGGAGTAATGCAATATTGTAACATTTCTTTAAAAGTAACTTTCCCCAATGTGGATTAACATAATGATGATGCAGATTAAAGGGAGATCAAGCAAGATTTATTTGTATTCAAACAGTAAAAAAGAAAGAAAGAGAACAAAAAAAGTCTATAGAGAGACAGGTAAAAGCAATCTAGAAACTAGTCATGTCAAAACAGAACATGAAGAAGAGTTTAAGAGCTTAACAGAGGAAACCAGGCAAGGTCAATTATCCAGTCAGAACAAAAGAGCTGATCATCAGAAAACAGACGGGGAGATTTTCCCATTAGTCCATTAACATCATTATGCATCCAATGTCCAGGAACAAAGACGACTGACTAGAGGGAGAAAATAAATTAGGAAAAGATCACTTTATTGTTATTTACAAAGCTAGAATATGTTAAAAACAAGTTAATAGCAAAAAAAATTGGCATCTTCTGACCTGTCTCCTTATAACTTCTACTTGCTCTTCAGCACTTCTTTAAGGGCAGACACCACTTCAGCAGGATCGGGGAACTTCAGTTTGCGTGGAGGACCCTTCTTAATGCCAGACCACAAAACAATCTCTGTTCAGGAGAAAGAAATACAGAGGTAGCATGTGTAAATAATTCTTTGGACATCCATAGATTGTGGCTGTACAATCTTGTTACTCAATGGCATCAGAATCAGAAAAAGACATGTATGGATACTGGTTGGCAGTCTTACCTTTATCTCCCTCCATCAGTGTGACCTCAAAGCTGTTCCGCCGAGGTTTCTCTGGATTGAGGACCACGTGAAGTTCAGGGTGCGAAGCCGCAAGTGCCTCACGCACACCTTCCGCATTCCGCCCGTAGACTCGTCAGCTTTTACTGTAAAACAGCAAGAATATAAACACATGACTCATATATAACGGTGTAAGAACTTCTTTTTTAATTATTAAAGGGCAATATCTGCCACCTGCAAGTCATTTTTAAGGGTCAATTTGACCTTTTTGAGGGAGTTTCTTTTTTCTAACAATAAGAGGACACAAACAATATATGTAAAACCCTACAATTGATTGAATATATTTATTCTTTTTATATGGCTATAAAATCAAAGTAGCAAAACAAAGCACCTGTAAATAACGCACAAAATATTATCACACAGTGTAAACAGCATGAAGTAATTTTAAATAACTAGCCATGTGTTCTCACCAATGCTCGATGACTACCCTTTGTCCTGTTTCTTCATCTTTTTTCTCTACTCCATCAAGCTTTTCTTTTTTCTCTTCCACTGCAGCTGCTTCTGAATCTACATCAGTCTTACGCTTCCGACCACGACCTGCATATTTAGGTGGATCACAGTGTTTTTAGTTTGCACATCATAATAAACTGGAAATCAAGGTTATATATAAAATTGAGCCTAAACAAAGACAAAAAATTTATTTGTGACCATTTTGATCACAAACCCACTATGCATACTACTTATTGTCATTAAAACATTACATATAATACTAATTTATATAATAGTTGTAAACTATAACGGTTTAAAAAATAAAGCGATTTAACAAGCTGTTCTGGATATAGGTAACTTAGGACATTTAAATCTGCATCCCATCAGTTGTGAACAAACCAAGCAGTCAACCTATGCTAGTTCTTGGGTTATACAAGATATGCATTCATATTCTTTCGCAAGTTAATTAGCCGATCTTAAATTTGAGGGATTGTATAAGAGATAGCCTCACGTGACCTCACACTAACCACCTTGACTCCTACTCAAAATACAGAACCTGACAAACACGAAAACTCATAACCTGCTAATGTGAAGCGCTGCACAAAATATTTAAGTAATCTGTTCTAGTTTCAAGACCACATTTAAACGTTTTCAGTGTTACGCACCTGATTTGGCCCGAGTCGCCATTGCCGCTAGCCTGCAACATGTGAAGACTGAAGAGTTTGGCGGGTCGGGGTTGTATGTTGTTGCAGAAAAAGTGTTGAATAATTCTGTGAAAGTTAGACGGACAGTGCCGCCTTTTGGTGTGGAAAGTCTTGACAGTCGTGCAGTCGAGGTATTTTTTGAAGTTGGTGCTTAAAAACATTGAAAATGTCCCGGTAAAAGGGTGTCATGTGTTATATAGGATTCATTATATATATATATATATATATATATATATATATATATACAATTTATTTACCAGTGGCATCCTTGGCTTGCACACAATGATGATGATGGACAATGAACATCACATGTCAAACTTCAGATTTTACAATAGAACACATCAAATAAGCTGCCACAAATTTCGTATATTTGTCAGCTTTGATCATCATTAATTATTTGAAAGAAACCACACAATGTCACTGTTAAAGGGATACTCCACTTTTTTTGGAAATAGGCTCATTTTACAACTCCCCCAGAGTTAAACTGTTGAGTTTTACCGTTTTTGAATCCATTCAGCCGATCTCCGGTTCTGGCGGTACGACTTTTAGCATAGCTTAGCATACATCAAGAGTTTCGATATTTTTCCTATTTAAAACTTGACTCTTCTGTAGTTACATCGTGCACTAAGACCGACGGAAAATGTAAAGTTGCGATTTTCTAGGCTGATATGGCTAGGAACTATACTCTCATTCCTGCGTAATAATCAAGAAACTTCACTGCCGTACCATGAGAGCAGCAGGCGTAACGATATGACGCAGCGCCTGAAAATAGTTCCGTTGTGTTGACGGAAGGTGGCCTATTTTCAGGCGCTGCGTCATATCATTACGCCTGCTGCACTCATGGTACGGCAGTGAAGTTTCTTGATTATTACGCAGGAATGAGAGTATAGTTGTAAAATGAGCCTATTTCCAAAAAAAGTGGAGTATCCCTTTAAGATACATTTTAAGCAAAGTTACTTCAGATCACCAGCAGAGGTCAACATGACAACATCGCCTAACTAATAGCTGAAATTATTATCTTTACCTGTGCTTCATTCAAGTCTTGAGTTTATCTGGAGTTTATTCGTTTAAAATGTCTTGGTGGTGTGTATAAAAATCAGCACAGTATTACCAATGTTTTGGTAACTGTTCTCAGTCGAGTATCAAAGATTAATTTTTTTTAAAAACTGACATTTGAACCTAATTTACAGTCTGTTCGCTTGAAAATATAATTGTTATAAATGTATTGTCTAAGTTGGGTGGTATGTAATTTCGTACCAGCAAATATCCTGTTGAGGTCCATCTTCAAATCCAGCTGTTAACTGGCGATCCCAAATTTAAAAATACAATAGGCCAATGGGCTATAATTAGCCTAGAGATAAAATACCTAAAACAAATAAGAAGAAGAACGTATAAATAAATCTGTGTAAAGACTTTCTAATGTTGTCGTTTGGGAGAACTAGCCTACTTAAAGCACTTGATCTTCGCAGCAGCAAATTCTGTTATTATAGAACGCGCGCGCTGGTTCTAAATTGAGCATTCTAAACTGACACACGTCATAACGCAGTAAAAGACAAAGTATAGGGAATTTATAATTAGTATCAACCAAATACATTAAGACTATAAATAATGCAAATTAAATTAAGAAATTACATTTGGTCATTGGGCTACATTAATTAAACAATTCTTACAGTCTTTCTGAGTTTGTTTTTCTTTCTATCTTTTTTTTGTTTAGACTGTTTTTTGTTGTTGTTGTTTTTTACATTTTAGATTATTTTGCTATTTTTATTCTAAAATGGTCCAATTTTTTTATTTTGTTTTTTGTTTAGATTGACGTTTTATGTGGGATTAGAAGTTTAGTAGAATCTGGAATAACCAAGGATGTAAACTATCTTGTAAACAGTAAAAGAAAACCGTTATCAGGACCACTTTAATTCTGACACATATTAATTAATAAATCCTCAGTAGCATACAGTGACGAACCACCAGCAACCAATCTTTTTTATTTTAATCCTGTATACAAAAGGCACGTTAAAATCACCAGAGACAAATTGCCCATTATGTTTTACTTTTTTTTTTCTTTTTTTTTTACTTCTATCACCATGTCAATTCCTTGTAAATGGAAGCATACTGAACACGTGTTTTAGAATAGTCCGATTTTTCTATTCTTTATTTATATGAAATTTACGGAACACAGTCATATAATTAAAAAATTAAGTCAAAATCATAGACTGTAAAACATTACTGGTCAGTAAATAATCTGTGCAGTGAGAATGTTGGTCATTGGTCAATCATCGCATGACATCATCTACACGCGACACGGCACGGCTTCATCAGTGTGGTATGTTGGTTTGACAACACTCTGGTCTGCAGAGAAGATATAAGGGAGTATTTGTAAATAACGAATTGTAGTTTGAACAGTGGGCGTTTGGAATAGTGTAGACACGTTACGATATATTAAAAATAGTATTTGCAAAAGCCCAACGGGCTAACGGTGACAAGCTAATTCAGTGTGACATAATTCAAATAAAACACGGTTTTTGCCTAAATATTTCACAGAGGAGACGAATTCACACAGGTATAGCACAATAATTTCTTATCTTCTCAGGTTTAAGAATACAAGTAGCTCGCAAATGTTAAACATTCTAGTTCTTTCTCTGTCACAGCCATGACTGCAGAAGCCCCAGAAAAGTCAGCCGAGGAGGGCCTGAGCTCGTCGGGCAGTGCTGGGATTTCAGGCACACGATTCGACTTGGAGAGAGAAACAGAATTGCGTTTTGAGGTCGAAGCAGGA